TTTTTTTACAGCGATTCTTCAAATATAGTATGGGTAAAATGTTCAGGATATATGGTTAAAATTATGCTTCCCTTGCCAGGGACTTGAGCCAGCTGCCACCCTGTTGTCCTAGGCCAAGAGCAGAGTTGTTTCAGGGCTGACAGCAGGAGAGAGTGGGTCTGGGTACATGTTTAGGGAAGTGGTCGATGGCCAGACCTCAGTCACCCTGCCCACATGTTGTCCATTCTCGGAGATCTTCAAGCCCTCCCAGATATGGGCACTGATAGCCTTACTGGAGGTGCTAGGATGTCTGAGAGGGCAGGTTATCACCCAGAGGGGAGTCTTCAAAGGTCCTCAGGGGTCTTGGAACAAATACCTAGTGTTTTGGCATCCTCTTGCCAAGGCAGACAAGCCAGAGATCAGGTCAAGGGGTTAAGAAGTGGAGACTCCCATTTCTGTTTGCACAAGTTAAAATTGCAAGTTATTGCCCCAGTGGGTGGGTCTGACTGGGAGCTACAGTGTCATTCAGGTGGAGATGGTGGGGCCACAGCGGTAGTGTTTGGAACCGTGGAAAGCAAACATACAAAACCATCTGCTAAACCAAGGCTGGGATAACCTTGGGGATGGGGGGGAAGCACCAGGGACAGTAGGCACAGCTCCAAAACCAAAACTGATCCAACCAGAGATGGATAAATTCCAGTGTAGCCATCTCTGACTTTTGGTATACCTCTTCATCACTTTTTTGTTAATTTGCACAAAACCCTGCCTTCTCAACACGGGCTATTTCAACTTGGAAAACAGCAACTGGAAGCTTGTTCAGCTGTCTCCAGAAGCTGTTGTTCGGCCCTGGTGTTGGCCCTGTGCCGTGAAATCTTGCTCCTCAGCAAGTCACCTAATCTTTGCTTGGAGGCTGGTATGTAGTCTCGGTCTCCATATTTCGGTAGGGCCCACCCGGGCCCTGTGTGGATCAGCCATCCACACATGCACAGTTGACCCAGGAGGAACATGGGGTGAAGTCCAGCTCATGCTCTGCTGAACAAGACCTGCCTCCAGCCAGAGGGTGCCCATCCTTTCCCAGGATAGCAGGGCCCTCGCTGTCAGCCCCTTTTCTCTCGTTGCTTCTGGAGCATCCAAACACACCTCCCGCACCTCCCACACCTGCGTGCCCCCTCTTCTAAAGGCCTGGTTGAAGACCTGGAGCCAGGGCTACTGTCCTTGGGGCCCCTCCTTTTTGCCTATAGCATCTTTGATTAAACAGAATCTCTTGTATATTTGATTTCCACTGACCCAAAAATTTTTGCTGTGGCTCCCACCTCCTCCCCCTCAAATGATGCCATAGCCCCCTGCTAGACCCATGCTTCAGGGATGACAACTTATAATCTTACTTGTACAGAAAAGGGGTACTTCTCTGCTTAACCCCTTGACCTGGCCTCTGCCCATGTTGTCACAAGAGGTGCCCCTGAATGTTCCCTGCTCTGAGTGGGCTTCATACCCATCCATCAACCATGCCCTTTCTCAGCCAGCTCTAACCCCTATGTCCATGTACCCACTTTCTGTTTGCTAATCCTTTAGAAAAAAGAAAAAAAAACAGAGGATGACACATTTTATATTTGGGGATAGTTCTGGGTTTTCAGTAAACTATAAAGGAAGCACAGAGAGGAAGGTTCCTATCAACCCAATACCTTTAAGGTGATGTGCTACATTGCCATGGGGTGTCTACTAAACCACAAAACTAACACTGGTGTGACTGGTGGTTTTTCAACTTGCTTTTAAATAAGAAAGTCTGAAGTTGAGCAGATGAGCAAAGTCACGTCCCTGCTGTGAAGAGGAACAGTAGGCTGTTCATACAGTCTGGGTTTCTCCGGCTACAGATGGACATGATGACACACCTGCCAGGACACCCTAGTTAGCTCTGCTAGACCCAGAGGAGCTCAAAGTCAAGACCTCTGTCCAACAGATGGACACCACTGCTGTCACCCTGTCAAGGCCTGTGACTCTGCAACTTGGTCTCAGAAGAGACTGTGATGGGGATCTGAAGAAGAAAACAAAGGAATATCAATTGTATCATATTCACCTCAAAGTTCAACTCACCCGCCAAAAAGAAAACATTTTACACTGAAAATGAAGATAGGTAAGAGGAATTAGGAGTCCTACATCGTATGTCTCACTCCAAGGAACAATTTATCAGTGCTATAGAGCTGTCAGCCGCTGACATGATAAGGAATAACACCAAATGAATAATGTTTCCTCCAAAACCAACTCCTTTAATTACAAGCCTCTTCTTTCCAGAAGAGAAACAGAGATGCAGAAACACCAATTTCATGCACTTGTGCCTGAATAATGTCTCCATGCTGCTTTTTCCAGATGGCGACCTTCTCACTGGAGGGACTAATGATGTGGGCATATTTAGGGAAAAACCAATAACGGAGTCTTTAACCTTCAACAACAAAAAGCGTGTTGTACAAAATGTTCCTTGGGATGCATTAGAAAATATCAATTACATTGCTCACTGAGGTGTAATCAGCTGTAATAATCAAAATTAATTTTTAAAAATAATTAAAGAGACCCCAGGGCAAATAGTTGATGCTCTTATCCTATGACATCACAGTGTACATATGTACCTGAGAAGTTGTGCCTTCTGTTAGCAGCAAAGGCATCTCGCGAGGATGAGTGATGGGTCCGGGATCTGCAGGCTGGTGAGTCTTGTCTCAGCAAAAAGAAAAGGGTTTCACTCCCTCCTCCCTCCATACAGTGCTGTACACATTCCTTAAGCACCTCCTATACACCAGGCACTATTCCCAGCCCAGACTGATTTACCAGTATAGGATGCTGCTACGCAAGAACACAGCTGACATTTTAAAGTGTAGTCCACTTTGTTTCAAAAATAGCTTCTCTTTAAAAAGTCCACAAAATATTACAAGTAGAGGAATGGATAAATAAGTTCAAGTGAAAGAAAAATGGGCTTCAAACAGGAAGGAAATAGATAGCAGGAGGGGTGTGTGCATGCACCTGTGTGTGCATGTACTTGATGTACCTGTGCTTTGTAGAAAGGTATGCCACCAGGTGTGGCCTTCGGAGAGCTGGGCCACCCTGTGTCCCTGAGCTCCCAGTTTCTGGATCAAAGAGGAAGACACAACAGAGATGGAAGCCCTGCCGAGCTGCGTGGCTCTCCCTAGTGCAGACAGCAAGGGAGCGCTCTCCCGTGGCTGCCTTCTCCCTATGTTCCACCACACTGACCTTTGCTGCCCTGAACCTTCAGCACACACCTCCTTGGGGCCTTTACCTGACATGCTCTCTCCCTGAACATTCTTTCAGAGAGCCACAAACTTGGGTCCCTCCTTACTTCCTGCTCCACATTCCACTACCATGTCTACCATGTTGGGTTTCAACATAGTGGGTTCCATGTCACTAGCCAGAACCTGTCTCGCCACCCTCCACCACTTGGTCAATTTTTCCCACTGCTATTAGCAGTTCCAACCTTTACAAATGAATTTATCTGTGTGTCTTTACTTTTGAGGATGCAGTCTCTGTAACAGCAGAGAAGGTGTCGAGTTTGCTATCTTCTATCATCTCAAGAGGACATTTTCCTTCAGCAGTCTGCTTTTACCAGAGACAGAGCCAATTTCATATATTCTTTCTTCTATATCGATCATGGTGAGTCAAGAGCAAACTGCTATAAACCCTTAGTAAAACTACATGACCCCCAATCAATGCAGTCAGCTCAAGCTTTTTTCAGATGAGCAGTTTTTCATGTCCCTAGGACTTGGAGGGAACTGAACAGTGTCGATAACAGCGATCTTGGAGGATGACCGTGAAAAGAAGACAGTATCATTCTCCTGACTGCATAGTAGCCCATGGTGACAGCTGCCTGGATTTGGAGCTGGTGAGATTTGTGGCTAACCTCACTTTCAATGTTACATGGGCAAGAGCTGATTATGTAATGTGTCTATATCTGTCTACCCCACCTTCTTGGGGAGTTCCTTCCCACACTCATTTGTCATCGTACAGACATTAGAACAGAAATACTCAATTAAGTTACATTTATTGCCCAAGGTCTACTGACCCTGTGGCATGACCATTCAATGCCCATAACCTGCCTGACAGATTGCATTACCTAAAAAAAGGCTTAACAAGATTTCCAGTTCTACGTGCTCTTGTCACTCCTCACCAGATGAAGTCTAAGCCCCTTGAATTTGGGCAGAAATCTGTGTCTTGACCAAAGAAATGCAGTGATTCTGCATGACTCCTGAAACTTGAACCTGGCTTATATCTCCCTCCACTGCTCTATTGAAATTGGACCTTTTAAAATCAGCCACGAAGTTGTCATCAAACCCAGGATGAACAGAGAAGCCGTGTGTAGATCTTCTGACCAAAGCCTCAGGTCTGACTAAAGTTGGCAACAACCAGATGTGCAGGTAAATGAAACTTCCAATGATCCCAATGAAGCTCCAGAAATTGTGCACTAGAATCAATATCCCACCTGTTCTTGTTATGCTTCAAATTCCTTACCCTAACCACTGCGGCCATAAAAACTCGTTGGCACCACTGAGATTCAGGAGGGTTTGTTATGCAGTTTTAGAGGAATGGATTGGGAAACCCCAATCACTCAGCCCACACAGTCAGGAGGACCCACCGCCTTGTCTTCTGGCAATGGTGCCAATGCTACTGCCCCCACTTTGTTGAGCTCACACCCAGCTCCTGCTGAGCTGCAAGTTGGTGCTCTGTGAACACGCCTGTCTCAGGAGGAGAACAGGAACAAGAATTGAATTTTTTTAATGTCATAAGGTACACCTGCTACTGACTCTCTTGAAATGAAATATTCATTTCAAGTCAAAGTTAGCCTGACGTCTGGCTCTCCTACTAAATGTAGCTTCAGCTGGGAAGCTACAAGCACACCTTTAAATACTCACAAGAATGTGGAGTTCCATCACCTCTAGCAACAACAGAGAAAGGAGATACAGTGCAGGGTGTTTGAAGCAAAGTACCTGACGTTTCTATAAAGACAACAAGCCTGGACTCACCTCTGTCTTGTACTCAGGGTCCTTGGCTTGCCGCCCATTCATCAGCCTCATGGCTGAGGACAGGCTTTCACTCCACAAAGTGACTTTGCTCTGATGTCCAGAACTTGAGCGGCTAGCCAGTGACTTCTTCTCAGATGCTGGGGATGGGAAAGCGAAGACGTCAGAGGTAGAGTTGAGGGAGCATACATGCTATTCTACAGGTGACTTGGCTTTCAAAGGATGGGAGAGGAGCACGTCTGCCTCCAACAAGGGAAACAAGCTGGATTACAAGTTCTCAAAGCCATCTTCTGACCAAGAAATAAGTTGTGGGCTTTAGGGGGTGCGGGTGGGGGTCACTGGGTCTGACTTAGACTTCCAGCTCTACAACTCACTGACTTGAACAAAGATGTAAACTAAAGTTCCTGAGCTTTGGTGTGCTCATCCTGTAAAACAGTGATAATAGTATTTGATCCCATTGTGGTGTCATGAGGAGTAAATAAAATGTGTTCAAAATGCAGAAAGTTTTCAAAACATAGCTATTGGCAAAAAGACAGCCACTTGTAAGCTTTCAGATGGATTGTATCCTTTTTCCCCACTATATGTGTATAGGTATGTATGTCCAGTTTTTTTGTACTTTTCCCTGAAATAGAAACTGAAATTTTGACTTCATTTGTGTATATGTATATCTGTGTATGTATATGTGTGTGTGTTCACTTGTATGTTGATATACATGTATATATTTGCCTGAAATAATGTGGAAAGTCAATTAAATGAAAGGTTTTATCTTAGACAGTCTAGAATTATCTACATGGAGATAAGGAACACTAGAGTCACTGGGAATTTTGTGATGTTACAAAATTTAAAACAATTTTATGTGTCATAATTTGAGAACTCTTTAAAAACAAAATTGAAAGCTTCCTAGAGCTGTGTTGACCAATGTGAGGGTAAAATGTTGGGTTGTTGATAGAATGCAAGGGAAATTAATCTTTGGATGAAGACTTCCACTTGGAACATGAAGACCTGAGATTCCAGCTCACCATATCACTTGATGTTAGGTGTCAAAGCTGGCAAGTAAATATCAGACAGAACCTAGAACCCTAAGTTCCACAGCCTCCCTCAAAAAGATTTAGAGAACCTGGTTGTCGCCTCTTGGCTTCCTGTTACAAGATGCAAAGCAGCATCAATTCTTTGTGAGCAAAGACTCATGGGGTTTTGGTGATGTAAATAAAATAAAAGGGAAGGTCTGGCTGGAAAAGGCTCTGGACTTCGAGTGCAATCTTGGGAGAGTCTGACTCATCAAGAAGTTCCATCCCTGGAGCACAGTGGACAGAAACCTAGGTAATGTTGCCAGGACTTGAGCATCGTCTCCTCCCAGAGTGGCGTGACCTCTTCAATTTTCACTTCACTTTCTCCAGGTTTCACAGTAAGATCAATCTTGAAGTTGTCCTCCAGCTCCTGACGCCTCTGTGATATGAGTTGCTGCCAGAGAGTCCTCACCTTCTTTTGGATGCTATGCTGGACTAAGGGAGAGAGCACAGCACACAATCAACACAGCCCGTCTTTCTCCCAAAGAGCACCAGGAGATGGCATTTCTCGTTTGCTTTTACTTGCAGCCTTCTTGCATATCATCCCAGCATTTCAAACTCCACCAAGAAAGCAGTCCACAGGACCGCTGGCAATGCTACTAATATCCATGTGAGCTGACCTTTCCCCTGCCTCTAATTTTCTGCCGCTAAATCCTGCTCCCTCACATGTCCAGACCTGGAAACACAACTGACTGGCACAGGGAGCCTTTTTCTCTCATGTCCCATTTCTTAATCACTGGAAACAGATCCGTGTAAGTGTTACAGAAACATATTGCCTCTCCCCACCCCAAACAATTCTTTTCAACTATACCTTCAAGGTAAATGATGTTGATCCCACAGGGAAATAGACACAAGCCTAAGCCTGTACCAATGGCCAGTCCTCTCTCCAGCAACTGGTCCATGCTTCTCGACACCTATCTATCTCAGTGCCCAGGTATGGACAAACCTACCAAGCCAGTGACCTCTATAATCTCCTGAAATGTGCTTTAATTCCCTCTGATCTTGGACTAATGGGTCTCCCCACAACCCCAATACCAGATTCTTTTGTCTGTTTTTCTTACCCTTGGGGAATGGATCTTGTTCAATCACCCACTAGCCAAATCCCCAGATTTGTATGTTTATGTTATAATTAACACTGAGTCTGAGTAAAATTTAAACTCCCAAGAATTTTGAAAACACTGCCTTTGGGCACCCACCTGACCAGATCACAAGCTCTCACAGTCTACACAGCACAGCAAGCCAGTGTGGTAGAAGAAGGTCTGCTGATGCTTCCCGGATTGAGAGCAATCTCTGGAACACATGGATCTGGCTGCTAGTTCCTTCCTCGCTTTCTTTCCTTACAATTTGTGTTACTTTTAATTTGATTCAATATTAGCAAATCCAAGCATAAAATTCCATAAAGTCAGAAGTCTTGTCTAAGTACTGTTTGTTTATTCCATTCCTATTTTCTAGAGAAGAAAAACAAGAGGTAGCTAAATACTAGCTTCAAGTGAGTTAGATGGAAAATTCAAGAAACTCCCCTGAAAATGTGAAATCAGGGCAGTCATCTTGGATTTGAGCAAATACACCAAGTTCTTACTCTAGAGAAATCCCACAGAGTTTTCTTTTCATTTATGTGTCTAATCCACTTCATTTCTAGTAGGTAAAGAGTATTCCAATTGTATCCTTTAGCTGCTGCACTAATACTTTGTATGACAGTTCCTAAATTCTCTTCTGGCCTTGGAGATTCTCCTTAGGATTTGCTACCTTATCTTGGAAGGAATAAGGTGAAGAATGCAAACTTAGCTGTTATCACTATTCATCTCTCCCAAGTAAATTATAAATAAAATGTACCATCATTCAAACTTGAGAAGTCTTCCCCAGTCTTTTCTCTTACTTCTTCATTTGGAAAAAGAAAGACTTGATAATAAGGACTCGTTCTGGGCTTGGGATCCAATCCAAATCCTTCTGGATAGCTAACAGACAAAAGATTTTTCACTATAAGCTCATTTTGGGGATTATTACATTATACTTTATTATAAAAATCACTTTCCAAGTAGTATATATCAATATGGAAAAATATGTCAAATTAGCTAAAGGAAATACCAGATAGCAATGTTTAGAACATACATTATACAATAGCATTTAAGTTATTAAATGCAATCCAGACATCTAGCAGGGCCCCTGAGTCCTCCCATTTCTCCCTCTATCAGAACCACTCATTTTTTCTTGGGCTCCCCTAAGGTGCTGGATTCTGCCTCCACTTGGCACTACTGCCATACTGCCTGGAAGGGGTCCCAGGTAGACTTTATGGCCATCTGTGCAATTGTATATGGCCTATTCTCAAAGGACCCCTGCTTGAGTTTTGTGTCACTGTCTTGAAGTTGATATAATTTTTGCACAAGGGCCCCACGTTTTCATACAACTAGAGGCCCACACATCATGCCAGTAACTGGACATTAGTCCACAGTAATTTACGATTAGGGCTGCCAAGCACCATGTGCTCTGGAGCTCCTAGTCGTATAAGTGCCCACATACTCTGTTCTCTGGGCCCCGTAAGTCAACTAAAGTAAGTACACTTTCAGTATATGTTTGTGGGTAGAACCAAAAATGACAAACAAGGAAATAAAAAAAATGTCATCATATAAGAATGCCTGTTTTTAAGCTTTCTAGAATAAAGACCCTCTGGACTTTGGAGGTCATATTGTTAACAGAGGGATCTGAAGCGGGTGGAATCTCAAGCACACACATCAGCTGATATTTCTTCTCTCTCTATCTATGCTTCAAATATGGATAAGATGCAACTATTAATAAACAGAAAAGAAATAAAGAAATTCCACCCAGTTTAGTCCATACACTGAAAATGGAATTCTTTTAATTCAAATATAAAGACAAACTCTTCTTCTGGGCTAGAAGTGCTTTGCGGAGAGTTTTAAGATAAATTAACTCTAGTGTTTTTGAGAAACATAATAATCAACTGGATATGATTTGGGGTTTTGTTTTAAGTGAAGTATCATCTGCATTAAGGAGAACATAATCCAGGAAAAGTGCAAGAGCAAAGAGCATATTCCATAGTTCTCTCCACCTCTACACTCAAAATAATTCTATCAAAAAGAGATAAAATGACATCAAGGCACAGCTGAGCCAAGACATGTATCAACACAGCCACATACAGAGAAGGCTCACTTACACAGAGAACTCTCGATATGAGCTCCAGCCTTGGACTTCAAGGATTTAAATAAGATTAATTTATTTTTATGAGTATTTCTTACCTCTGCTTATACACATTTTATATCATAAATTATTTTTGAATATACAGTATTTTATATTTAATGTTGGAGTTTGGGCCCCCAAATTAAATCAATGGTATATTTCACAATTTTAGGACTGTGAAAATTACTGTTTCATGGTGACACAAGCTACTCAGCCACATGAGCAGTTTTGAGGAGCACCAAAAACATTATCAAACATTGTACCTAATGTGAACAATCAGAGAAACAAAATGATTCTATCATTTATATCAATCAAGTGTGCTCTTACGACTTTCCTTTTTGTGCTATCACTGATAAGCATGGGATCAAGTCGGCAGCTCTTACCTTCTTGAATTGAGCAGCAAGAGACAATGCATGAAACAAAGCAGGAAGCTGATGTTGGAGTTATAGGTGGCAAAGATAACATCCCAGTGTTCCTGGAGGAAGCTCAGGATGCTGAGAAGGCTAAGGCACTCAGAGAGTGACTGCTGGGGTTTGGAGAGGCAATAAAGGATGACTTTATTTAAACTGCTGTATAAAGCACCGATGATGGCATCCCTTTGAAAGGAGGCATTCTCAATGACCTGTGTCACAAGATAAACACAAACACAACACAAACTTGTGCATACTTTATCAGATATTAACTTAGTTAACTGAAAAAAGCTATAAAATGTGACACAATCTAAAATTCATATAAAACTCATTTACTCTTTGTGCCTCTTTCTAATTGTTTCTAAATGATTGATACAAATTTTTTATCTACCCAAAAAATTTTTAAAAACCCAGGCTCTTAGATTTATCAAATCTTGAGTTAAAACAAACTGAAAGTTTACTTTGGTCCTATTCTGGAAAATAAACATGGGGGGCTAGATATTTACAAAATACCAATAATATAGTTGGCATTCAACACATAAACATGCTATTAATAGTGTCAAGTATATGTATCATTATTAATAATAGTGATCATGTATAATGTGTTTACAATTTTCAAGTAACAAACTAAGAATTTCATACATACATGTTTAGATTTACATGCATTGTCTTGTTTAAATACCCTAAGAACAGCAAAAAGTGGACATGTAGATACCCCCTTTTTAGGAATTAGAGGGCTGATGGTCAGCAATAGGTCAGCAAAGTCAAACATGCACCAGACACTTCAGCTATGCATTTAAATACTATACAAGTCAAATGTCCAGTGGATTTCAGTACATGAAAAACTTCGAGAGGGAAGTGTAGTCTTAGCACTGATTGGCCCATGTATCTGTTTAACTTCTTTGAAACTAGTATATAAATAAATCTTGAATTTCTAATGCACAGCCTAATTATTATAGGCAATGATATTGCATTTAAACTTCAAAGTTAAGAGACTAGATCTTAATTATTCCCACCATTAAAAAAAAAAACAGATCATTATGGACACAATGGGTGTGAGCCAATGCTAAGGTGATAATCACATTACAGGACATAAATGTATCAAACCAATAGGTTGTATATCTTAGTATATAAATATTATATAAATAAGTTTTGTTTAAATGTGTGGGAATTTGGGATTCAGACTTTTGTCCTCACTAGATGATCATATCTTTCAAACTGAGTTTATGAGTAGTAAGAGTCACAGGCAGCAAGCAGGAGAGAAGAAGGGTGGAAGAGAACAGCACTAAGAGTTCTTGGGCCTGGCACCCCCTGAAGATATATCAGTCCCAGTGGTCACCCACCATCTGGTTTAGCTCTGGCCACTACAGAGCTGCTATGGACTGATGTTCGTATCGCCCCCAAATTCATTTATTTAAACCCTAATGCCCATGCAATGGCATCTGGAGATAGGGTCTATGAGATGTAACTATGGTTGTGAGGCTGTAGCCTTCATAATGGGATTGGTGCCTTTATAGGATGAGAGGTGAGAGCTTACTTATTTTCCATCGAGTGAGGGCACGGTGAGAAGATGGCCAGCTGCCATCCAGGAAGAGAGCCCTCACCACACACCACATTTTCAGCACCTTATCTTGGACTTCCCAGAACCATGAGGAATAAACACTTGTTGTCAGGTTACCCAACTAGAGTATTCTGTTAGAGCAGCCAGAACTGACTAATACAGAGGCTCAGCCGCTACTCTCATTCTTGACATGACTTCTCAAGAACCTGACTTTAATCTCCTCATTGTTGACAAAGGCTATTTCTTTCCTCTTGTAGTTATTCTTAAAGTTTCTGAAAACATTTTCTTCAAGACACCACATCAGCCAAACTATCTGTCCCCCTAGGGATCATGTTCAGGTCTAGTCCTCAGGCTGAGGGTGACTACCTATGAAAGTGCTGAGGTGTGATATTCTCCCTGTGAGGTGTGCGGGGGATGGAAAGGGAGATCTTCTGTAGAAGACACACAGAGAGCTGCTGATCGTAATTTCTGGAGGCATATTTCTGTTTAGTAATACACAAGGTGGAACCACCTTGTATCAAAGTGAGCTCCTCACACAGGGAAGGTTCAAAGTCACTTATCAGGAAAGATTACCACAGTGAAATGAGACGTGAAGTTCAACTCTAGAATTCTGAGGTGGTATGAGTCCCTCTGTGTCTATGTACTGGTATGCATAATAAAGACTGTGTTCACATGTATACACACACTCATACTTAAGGATTTATCTATAGGCATGCATTTGCATGTCAAGGTGTACAGTAGATCTTTCAAGAGAGCAAGATAGCACATGTAGCAACAGGACTATTAAAAAAATAGACTCTGCCTTGATTTCAGGAAGGTACAACTGTGATAAATGGAGGAGGATAATACAATAGAAAATTAGATGGCCCTTTGGAGATAAAGGCATTGTTGTTGATGAACAGTATTAAATCAACAACCACAATAAGAAAAAAGTAAAAATCAAATTATAAAATTATAAAAAAAAATCAACAACCACAATAAAACCCCAGAGGTGTGTGTGTGTAGTATAGGAGGGGACAGACTCTGATTCCATAACTGGGGACTGTTGTTCTGCTCACTGAGACAGATGCAGGTGGCCTGAGGTCAGAGGCAGTAGGGTCCTCCATGTTGCTTGGGTCACGAGTCCTTCCCCGCCTCCCACTCATCCAGTAGACCAGCAGTAGACCACCCACAGACACTTGGTGGGTCAGCATGAGTTTCCTCAGCTCCATGGCAACCCAGCATTCTTACCACCATGATGTGCTCTGTTATGAAGGTAAGGACATGTATGGGGTCTGCTGAGAACATCCCACTGTACAGCTTCTCCACCAGCTTCTGGGCAAAGAAGGAGATGTTTGCTAGTGAAGGAAGAGCAGCAGCTTCTGTGTTTAGCTGGGGATCTTGACTGCCTGGGAGAAGTAAGAAGACAGAACAAGTCTGAGAAATTTCACTCTTAACAGAGCCCTCTTCACAATAGTATCCAAGCTCCTCTTGGTAATCAAACACCTCTCACTCAACTTTGTATATTCCACTGCAACTCTCTATATAAAATGTGTTGCAGTGAAGATGGAATATTACTTAGAGTAGGTGCCCAACAAGCACACAGTTTTTCAAAATAAATTGAACTTGAATGATTCAGTCGGTGATAGAAAGCAAGTTAGAAGGCAAGTGTGAGACAACATATGGCCATTTGGAATGACAGTGGAGGAGAATTTAAGGCAGACAGCCAATGCAAAGGCTGTCAGGGTGACCGAAACCCTGCTGCTATAGGGGACATAAGATAAAGCTGTAATGGTCTGTCCACACTCCCCAAGATGGTAGGTATTGTGCTCAGATGTGGAGGAGAGTATCTCAGCCCTCAGTTAGCCACTGCTGTCCTCACCCACAGGCTTTGGCATCTGTCCAGAGTCACATCATCATCCAGTGACAGAACCAAGATCAGAACTGGGACCTCCAAGCTCTGCCTTTCACCTTTCTATATCACACTGCAAATATTTTTCAAGAGAGATGAAAAGTTGGGGTTTCTAAACTGTCTGGCAAGGAGGACTCTAGAATCAAGTCACAAAGGATTCCCTGGCCAAGCTCAGAACCCACAAAGGACTTTGTTGAATCCTGTTGGGCAGGAGGTTCCCTGTCAGAGATCTGAGTGGAGCTGCAATCGTCAGTCTGAGGGCATCTGGACTCAGGTTCTTTCATCTGAGAAGTATGTGTTGTGTCCAGGCAGAGGTGCAAAGAAGAAGACGCTGAGCAGAAGAATGTCCAATGCCAGTTGAGGCCTTGACTCTCTTCACAAAAATAAGACACAATACTCCAGAAGCTAGAGGAAAGCCAATGTTAGCTCAGAGGACAGAAGTATGTTCTGTCTGTGCAGGGCCCAAGGATGGCAGTGCTGGCGTGGAAACGTGCACGCCTGCAGGCAGGGCCAGTGAGTTCATGTGGCAGATTAGTGCTGGAACTAACATGGGGTGGAGGGTATCCCCCCGTGGCTCCTAAAGCACCCCCTAGTGCTACAGCCCAGCTCCCTCTAGAAGGCTAGAGTTAGCAGCTGGCAGGCATACTGAGGTCTAATCATCTGTGAACAAAAATAAGGAACAAGTCACCCCCACTCACCTCTGAGCAGTGACTTCTCACCACCACTCATCACATGAAATATCTCCATTGTGGAAAGCAGGATCTCAGACTGGAAGTCTCGTTTCTGTTGGCTGGTAGCATTTCCTGGAGAAGCCTGGAAGCACATCATCATAGCCAACATGTCCATTCAGTGCCATGTAGGCCTGACCCATATGCTAATAACAGCAGTTGGAGATGTCACTGCCACCAGCTCGAAGCTGGCCCTTCTCCAGGGCAATGCTCTCTGCTGACAGATCTGCTCCCCCAGAAAGAGACACCCACTTCCCAGAGTAAGGAGGCAAGTGGGGAAGAGAGAACCACACAGCCTTCTAGCAGATGCCTCAATGTGGAACCAACTCTGGGATGCAGGCACCATGCCCGTGTTATTGTTGAGACCATTCTTGGACAGTTTTTCCCTCATCTCCTTATTTGTTCCTTCTCGGCTTCTCCTGAGAGCATCCCCAATAAATCCCTTCCACAAAATCCCTGCCTTGGGTTCTGCTTCTACCCTAGCTAAGGGTTCTGCCTTCTTTCATCTTCCCACTCTCAGTAGGCTCCCTGCTGCCCTAGGGCCTGTGGCCCCTGTGGTCTCCCTCCCAGTACACCCCTGCAGTCTAAGGAGCCATGTCCACCCACCCAGAAGCTGGCAAGGTCAGGCACAAGTGAACTCTTGTAAGACCAGCCCTTATGTGTCCCTGGGCACACCCACTTCTTCAAGGCACTTGTACCCTCTGAGAAACCCGTTTTAACCATGCCTTGTCCAACCCACCTCCAGGAACACCTCCAGTGGTAACCACTGCTTGGGACTGGGGGCGGAAAACAAGAGCTCCTTCAAGAGTAGCTGCGTGAACTCCCTCAGCTGCTTCCGGGTGGGATGTGACTTGGAAGGAGCCTGGAGACTTTCCACGGTGCTGCTGTCTTTGGCCTCAGCCCCAGCACTGCTGGCATTCTGGGTGGACTCAGTCATGACTCCCTCAAAGACAAAAGAGTACCCTCATGAGCAGCCTGCCCTGCCTCCCAGCGCATTCACATCCAGGTCCCCCTCAGAGCCATGGGTGGGCAGGATTCTCGTCACAAGTAAGGAAACTGAGGTGCTCAGCAGGGGAGTTTGCCCTGCACACTGCGTTGCTGTGGTCTCTGAGCCTGAGATAGGCAGGAGTCACGGTGAGAAGCTGGTCTCAGGGCAGGAGAGACCTGGGCTCAGAGAGGACACCCAGAATGTATATAGGCAAGTTGGTCCCTTGCCTACAGCCACAGATGCCCATCATTCCAATGGTAATAATGAAAAACTCGGAAGAGGTACATGAGGACGCAATGAGAGAACAGTGGCAGTGGCCATGCCTGGCCCCTGGAATGTAGTCAAGAAGACCTTTGGTGGAGCCCTCAACATTACACCTGCCAGGCTCTGCTGAGGCCGACAGAGAGGATGCTCAGGGAAAAGGGAGGAGGAGGACTTCAGCGAGTCCGGGCATCCACCCAGAAGTGCTTTGGCCTCTGTCTTGTTTTTATAGTTATAAAAATATCAGGAGAGAAACCAAACAGTGGTCATTAGCCCAGATGCAACCAGGAGGCCAGGGAGGCGCTGAGAGGCCAAATGACACACCCAAGGACACGCAGCCAGGGTTTCCTGATTCCCTGGCCAAAAACTTCTCATGTGCACTCATCTGTCGGTACCTCCCTTTGCTCATTCATAAAATTAATGCAGCCATTCTTAATTAAGCCATAAAAAGAATTTAATGGCACCTAGGGAGGTGGTGACTGCATTAATTAGCTCCACACGGCCTTGACTGGAAAGATGTTGTATAAATTCACAGCAAAGCCAGCCTTTTGGCCACCGGTCTCCCGTGAGGAGAGGGTCTATTAGGTTTTCTAGGCAACCAAAGTCTTTCGGAGCTGACTTGGAGCCGAGACAAGGCAACGACGTCTAGGGACGTGAACCTCTAACTTGGATTCGGGAGTCCCACACTGAGGCCAGCTCCTCTGCAGAGGCTGGAGAGGTGACTTTGGGCAGGTCCTCCCCCAGGCAGCCACCAGGGACTGTGGGGAGGAAGAGCCCCCGGTCAGAGTGCACTCCAGGAGGCAGGCACAGGCAGTCAGCTGGAACCCCAACTCAGCAGAAGGCAAGCCTGGACCTTTGGGATAAGGGCTGCAGTGGAGATGTCTGGAAATGTCAGGCCAGGGACGTCAGGGTCTGCCTCCATCCGGCCAGGCTGCCTTTGCTGACACCCTCCTGTTGGGTCTTATTTTTCTCATCTGTTACTTTTGTGGATATTAACTTATCAAACAGTTCTATCTTTTATCACACCTTTATATTTAGTATTCTAATTAAAACTAGTCACTCTGAAATTTTACTTCACCATTTAATTTGATTTTAAACTGACTGTGATGAAAAGAACATGGGCTTTGGGCTGAGAGCTTAAATCTTGACTCTGTCACCTATTAATCACGGCCCACGTCATCCTCTCAACCATTTTGTGAGATTGTTCTTCCCACCCCCACTAAACCTGGCGGGACTCAGCGCCACTTCACCCCTGAATCTCATACACCCCCTGCAAGGTGTCTCTGAGTGCTCAGAAGAGTTGGAGGTGTCCAGTAGATGGAGATGACCACTTCAAACACACTTCTGGAACACATTCATTGAGTGGTCAAGCAAATCATTGTGGAGCAGGGTGTTTGGAGCAGGGTGTTTGGCCTGGCTTCTAAACCTCCACCTCTCACTGTGACTTTCTAACATGTTCCTTAACTGAAGCTATCAATTTGCAGACAGGCATCACGAGCTCATGCCCCTGTCAGGAGCTCTACTCCCTACTGTGCCCAGGTGAGGATGCCAAGGCTTCCTGCCCTTCTTCCCATCCAGCCCAGCCCTCTCCTCCTCCTCTCAGCACCCAGATGCTCCTAAGCCTAGCAGAGTGTATCCTGGCCCTGGAGCTGGCTCTCCATCTCCAGCTCACTCATCGCTCTTCCCACACCACCCCAAACACCCAAATCTTGTCCTGAAGAACTCAGTTGACTTCCCAGCCTTGGACCTTCTGACTCTAAGCTGAGTCTCACAGGGTGTCTGACTGAAAGGACATCCAAGTCCTGACCTACAAACAGGAAAAGGGTCCTGAGAATAAAGGCCAGAACAGGACCCTCGTCCAGCACCGTCCCTTCCCAGTCTGGCGCACTGGCCACAGGCTTCCAGGTATGAAATCTGACATTTTACATTATTGGTGTAGGAGTGTCTATTGTAAAATTGCACTGGAACTACCATCAAACTCTTGTTACTGAGATTCCAAAATATTGACTCTCAGTTGAAAATGATCTCAAGCTGCATTCAGCAACAGATGGAAAGTTCCAGCCATGCTACCTTAAAATGGCTGCTGTGGAGTAATTTATCATTCCTTCTTGAAAAACTGCCCTGGTCTCACTGGGGCAGGGCATTGACATGTCCTACCTTGTGGATTTCCCAGGGGAAGGTGACTGCGGCCAAGGTCTGGAGAAACTCTGGGGTCCGCCAGGCTGGGTCCTGTGGGTAGGTGCTATGCACCAGGCCCAAGAACTGCAGCACGCTGGCCGGGAAAGTCTGTTCCCATGCACGGTCCTCGGAACCTGTGGAGGGCTGAGGGTACACTTCGTGAGAGACAGTGTAGGGGAGCTGGGCTGTGGCCTGCATGGAAACCAAATAAAATGAAATCTATGCAGGGAGAGTAGACCTCCTTTCTGGGACTCTCAACAAGGCAGCTTACTCCAAAGATCGAAGATTCTAGATGAGCAGAGGATAATGGTCATGCATTGGAAAGGGATTAGTATGTGCAGAAATTGTTTTAACGGCTTCACACACTGCCTCTTCCTACCTCTGCAGTAAGATCTGTGCTCACTCCTGTGTTACAGATGGGAAGACAGAGGCAATAAGTGGCCTGCCAAAGACACCCAGTAGGTCAGGAGCAGGACTTTTCTTTATCTTCAAGACTTTTCTATTATTCCTTTTGTTTGCCTTTTAAAAATAACTTTAACTGAGTGGAAAGATAAGAAACTCCTGGGGGTTCAAACAGAAAAGGTGCATTTTTCAGGCACCATGAATACATGTACCAAAGATGTAAAGTACAGAGAACACAACTCTGAGTAGAACACCAATCATCCAAAAAAGTGGAAATGGATATTAGCAATAAAAACCAAAAATTTCAGCCTCATGGATGTTGAAAAATGTAAGCCAAAAAAGGCTTGAAACAACAATCATGAACGACAAAAAATGGAGACGCCAAATATCAAAACTTTATAATTAGCCAGAGAAAAAATTATAAGAATGATAAATATACCCAAAGTTGATGTGAAATAAATCTGCAAGTCCTCAGCTCTTTAAGTAATGGGAGGGAGAGGTTGGGTAAAGAGAATGAACTTACAAATTAAGAAGAAGAAGGAAATAACCACACAGAAGTTAAATGAATTTTAAAAGACCATTTGTTCAATCTGAGTAAGCAGGAAGCTTTTTTAAATATTAATTACCCAAACTAGGTCAAAAAAACATCTAAATGTCTAACTAAGGCAACAGTCCTGGGGAAAAAAAAATCAGGTCTAAATAGTTTCATAGGAACAATTTAAATAATATTAAGAATCACAGCTTTAACATCTTTTTGAATATAAATAATGAAAGGAATCTTTTTGTAAAGCTAGCTTAATACTGTTATCAAAATCTGACAAATATATTACAAAAAGAAAATTGCAGCCTAATGTTATTTACAAAATGCATACAAAATCATAAAATATTTACAAACAGAATAAGAATGCTGAAAGAATAAGAACAGAGTGACTGAGATCTTTGTAAAAATGCAAGGAAATATATCAATGCTACTCACAAGTAACTGGTTAAAAGAAAAAAAAAACCTGAACATCTAATTATGTACAAAAAAGTATTACATAAAAACTAAAGCACATTCCTAGTTTTAAAAACAATAAAAGAGAAATCTGCATTTTTTTAGCATAATTCTACTCAGAAAAAAATGACAAAGATACAGACAACCCATAGTAAAATAAGATGCTCATAAGCATCTGAAAAGTTATCATCGACCTCAATAATAATACTTTTGGGCCTCAGAAAGAAAATATGAACTCACGGCTATTTTTAAAAAAGAACTGAACTAAGAACTGATCATCAGTTTGGCATCTTGTGGAAGCTGTGAGAACTGGCCACATGTCTGATGTACTCTACCCGAGAAGGACACTCAAAAGAAAAGGCCATACACTGTAAGCCGCCACCTCACAGCCCAGAAGTTACACTCAGGAGCCCATCACACGGAGAGTAGATGTGTCTACTCAAGAAAGTTCATTGTGGACTTGTGATCATAATAACCACTGAGAAACAACATAAATTTCCACTACAAACATATTATTGATGACTCCTATGTAATTTAATGAGATGAAACTATGTCCCAAACACATTGAGAAAAAAAGGCAAAAAAATGCATGGTGTCTAATCCTCCACCATGTTATTTATAGTCTGATCTTAGAAGACTGGTCTGAAGGTCACAATGGGTGGGCTATCTCCAATGACTTTTATTTTGTAATTTAAATTTAAAGCAATCATGCATCACTTACACTTCCACTAGCTCTTGGGAATACAAAATTTTTCAGCCTTTCATGCAAGTTCTCCTGGATCTGACTTACAATGGCTCCCCTTCATAGGCCACCAAGCCCTCATTCCTCCCCACTTGCCTCCGTGTCTACACAACCTCCCCACCCACCTCTAGTGGAACTTGAAGGCCTAAGTCACAGGCTCTCTTTGAAGCCTCTCCACATCCTGTGTGAAGTGGTGACATCTGTCTTCTTTAAGACAAGTCTCTACCTCACAGGTCACACAGGTCTACCTGTCTGGCAGAGGTGAGCTCCTAGAAGGGAAAGACCCTTCACCCCCTTGAAAGAGTCCTGATATTCTTGACCTATAGAAGAGCCAGAAATGTTCCCTTTGTCTGAAGAATTGAGTCCCCTAATGAAGAAAATCAAATGTATAAGTAAACAATGGAAGACAGGTGCCTTCTGGCAAGAGCGCATAATCTTTACTGGGGTGTGTAGGGAGGATTTCCTGTTGGTGTGTAAATCAGAACTAGGGCCACACCTCACCTTGGCTCTCATACATTCTGAATAACACAGGCTAATTACAGGCATTATTACCAGAAAGATGCAGGGGGAAATCAAGGGGACTTTTTGAAATCGGTCTTCCCTCCCAAACCTTATCATGATGTGTGGGGGGTGGGTCTCACCTGGCTCATGGAGGCTTTCAGCAATTCCAGGAGCAGTAAGACACCTTCGGTGCACAGCCCAAGCCGGAGGACTTCCTCCCTGTGGTGCTTCTGCAAGAGCCACTGAAACATGGCATCTAGGCTATCCTGCAAGAGGAGGCAGGAGCTAAAGATACCTGTGGTCACCCATGCAGGGAATAGATTTCCAGCCAGGACCCGGCCCAGGGCACCCTGCTGGAAAACACTGTTAATTCAAGTAACAGTCAAGGTGAGTGGTCCACATGGAGAATTTCAGAGGAAAATAAGCACCCCCAGCAGGGAAATAAGCACCCCCAGCAGGGGCTGAAGACCCACTAGCAACTTGTATTGAATTTCAACCTTTTGGTCTCTTATTGCAAATACTCCATGTGCCAGTCAACTTCTACAAGAATTTTTCTGTAAATGACCTATGCTTTTTTTGGCAAATGACCTATGCAAAGTTTTTGGAGAAAGTACAGATGTAGTAGAGAGAGCCTGGAATTGAGGAACAGGCTGATCTGGATTTGCTTCTTTAAATCTTGGGTTTACACAAGCTGCTCAGCCTCTTGCAAGTCCTGTTTCTTTTTGTGTGAAATGAAAATTACATTACCTACCCCCATGGGGTATCTATAAATATCAAGTGAAATAAAATATGAAAAACATCAACCTGGGTTCTGACTCTCAGCAGATGTTTGCTTCCTGCCATAGATTCTGGGAGACAAAAACACAGAGCTTCAATGAACTCAGTACAACATATCAATAATTTTATTTTGAAGTAAAAACTATGAAACTTTTAGCATTATTGAGACATCAAGTATAAGGAGTGCAAGAGAAGTGAATCGTTTAGCCTTTGTTGCAAGGCCACATCCCTCCACATCTCAATTCAGTGCAGTTTAGCTCAACTCAGTTGTGACCCAGAAATAACTTCTGGTTCACTATTTGTCAGGTGCCTAGAGAGGTGAGTAAAAGGAAAAAGCCTGTCTTTGAAGGGCTCAGTACCTAGGAGAGAGGCCAGTGTGTTCATGTGATGGTGCCATACAAGGTAAAAGTATGTTGAGGCACAGAGACAAGGTGCCTTTACGGGAGTCTAAGCAGAAGGTGGCATCTGAGTACTGAGGGCGGACACCTTATCAGACAGGTGACAGTGGGGGGAAGCTGAGGCACAAGACTCAAGAGCACAAGCCAGCTGGTCTTACTGGGGAAGTGCAATCAGGAGGGTCACAGCACAAAGATTGGAAAGACAAGTCAGGTGCACCACTGTGCAGGGGCTGACACCAGCTGTGGAGTCTGAAGCTGATCCACAGGCATGGGAGTCCATGAAGATGCCAAAGGGTGTGCCCGTGGGGTGAGTGAGAAGGTCTACACTGAGTGTGGACTGTTTTTGGAGAAGGAAGAATAAGATAGTGATACACAGGGCACCAGTATTCTGAGCATGAGTCAAAAAGGTGGTGCCTAGTTTCAGGTGGGGTATAATTTACGACACTAAAAGTCTATGAGGAAAGAAGCAGCTGAAAGGGGGGTGCTGAAAATATGGCAGAAAAGGGAACACAATGAAGTGAGGTCACTCAGGAGAAGAGTTGGGGGGGGCGGGAGGGAATCCAGATCAGCATGGAAACCTGCCCTTTGTCAACAACAGTGGCAGAAGGTGAAGAAGGTCAAGCCTGAATAGGTGGCAGAGGCCAGCCTCTGCCTCTTCCAACTAGGGAAGTGAGCTGAACAAAGGATGGCCACGGGGCAGACGACTCGAGCCTATATGGTTCATTTTAGAAAGTAGTGGAATAGTGGGCCATGACAAAGGCAAAGGGATGTGGGTTTTTTGAAGGCAGAAACTGAGACTTAAGTCTTTGGCAAGAGCAATTCTCCTCCCCATCCCATCAAGTGTGATTTCTCTAGCTGTCCCCAGAAGATAGAGTTAAGAGTGGGACTGGTAAGAAACAGATACCCAATGGGAGGCAAGCAGAGGCCAAAGAAGTCCCAGTGCTAATGCAAAGGTCTCTGAAGAACTAGTCAAGAGGTGTGGGATTAACAGGGGAGGAAATGAGTCGTGACAATGGAGATGGAAGAAGGGAGGGAAGGTGGCCCTACTGCATGGAGCTTCCAGGTGCTATGCAGAGAAGCAGAAGCAGGTAAAGCTTAGGTAACTGCTTTGGTCATATGGTGTCCGGAGAGCAAGTGTATCATGCCCTCCCAAGAACCTACCTTGGGTCCATCCACCAACTCTGTGAATGGTGTCTGCAGCATGAAGGTGGACACAATGAGGTAAACGTCTGGAATATGAACATGGTGGGCCAGAAAGTCGTTCAAGACACGGAACCCAGGTAGCTGGCAGGGACTCTGTTCAGGTGTGGGAGGTTGGCTCTTCAGGTTATCTAATGACCAGGAACAGAGGGCAAAAATTTGATTGTGAACAAATACTGTTGTTACTGTTCCAGGAGGGGAGTGGATACATGAGGAAATTCTCTGCCACCCACCCTACCCACAGATATGCCAAGTAGAAATACACATCATACATACATGAACATAAAGAACTCCTTTTGCTACTCCTAACATGTTCATTCATTCATTTATTCATTCAAAATCAGATACTGATTTAGTGCCTATCTCATTAAAGTCAGCAAGGCAAATTTGTAGTAGAACACTGTATTTTACATTGCTACAAAACATACCCCAGGCTATAATGAAGTACTTACAGAGCAGTAGGAGGGCCAGAGAGAAAGCAATTAAATGCCCAGATAAGTATATTCATTTATAATTTCAATATATTGTGAATTGTGATAAACACTATAAAGAAAAATAATAGGGGCAAAGAACAAAACAGAGGTGCCCTAATTAAGACAGGCTCCTTCTCTCTTGCAGAAAGTGATATTTAAAATGAGAAGACAGAATCCACAGCAGTCAAAAGAGGGGTGCTAGTGTTGCAGTTTGGGGGAACTATCCCAAGAAGAGGGAAACTATTTAGAGGGTCTGAGGACCAGAAAGGTGTCCATCTTTCTGAAAAGCAGTGGGCTGCCAGGACCCTGCAGGGAAGTCAGAAGGGGCTGGAACTGATCAAGGCTCAGAATTCAGGGACAGTGACAGCCCTGAGTGGGGAGAGCCTGGCAGATACTCACAGCCCATAGTGAGGCGGCACCTGCCACTCCCCACCCCCCTTCCTGGAGATGAACACACACTCACCCATCACAATGTCTACACCCTCAGAGCTGTGTTCCACCCAGCATCCTGTAGACAAACCGTCTTTAAATCGCCCTCGCAGGGAGGGGCTAGACAAAAAGTGCAGCAGCAGCTTCAGCCCCAGTACAATGGTGCTGGGGTGCAGGTGGCCTTGCACAAGAAGCAGGAACCAATCCGGCCCCAGGTTCAGGAATATCTCTTCCTTTGACCTAGGAGATGGGAGGCTGGTAAGTAAAGGCAACAAGTCGTCTATCAGTCCCTGAGCAAAGCCTCTCAGTCACCTTGAAACGGCAGTGAAGGTTAACATCTAGATGCCATTTAGTGAAGCACATATTGCATGTTACAGGAATGATAAATAATGTTGGTGGGATTACTATGAAATGGATGAATTTCTCTATTAACAGCTGAAATGTAAGTTGGCCACTATTAGTTTGGTAGCTGGCACTGAGAAAACTGCCTGGCCCTGATGAGCCTTTCCCTGGCACCTAAGAGGCTGAATCCTTTGCTGAGCCCCTGAGAATTGGCTGCTCACCTCCCTGCCTTCTAGAACATAATTTTGCATTCTCTGGATTCATCACTTCAAAATTCACTTAAAAGTGACAGCTAATTATGTGGTTTTTTTCCCTAAACTGATAAGGGGCGTAAATAGTGGACTATCCTGTTTAGGATTGTTTGAACAATGTGTTTACAAAGGGAGGTAAATAACCTTTATTTGTTCATATGCCTGTATAAGTGTAACTGGGCGGCTAGCTAGACAGGTGCTATGTGAGTATGAATATTAGTAGAGTTGGGATATGGAGGGACCTGCACCTTTTTATGTCTATTGGCCCATGGGTTATTACTTGAAAGGTTTTGGCCAACTTACCTTTCAAGTATTAATAGAAAAATGTTCATTCATGTCATAGCAGTGAGAGCATAGCAACTAAAGTCAAGAGATCCTCTCTTTTAGCCGACCCCTGATGTTTACTAATTGGATGATTTTGACAGAGATCTTGACGTGCTCTTGTCATTTTGCTTGACAATCATGATGTTGGTGGTAGAAGTAAGATGATGTTGACATAGTTAGCTTATGGATTATTTACAATATCCAGGCACCATACCACATTCAGGGCTATCCCTGATCTTCTTCACAAATTGCCATATTACTTTATATCTGTGGCAGGCTCTATTTTTATCCTCCTATATAGCTGTGTACAATAGAGTCATCAAGAGTTTATGTAGCCTCCCAAATGTCTCTGGGAGCAAAAATGGGATTCGAAACAGACCTAGTCCTCATAGCCCAGGTGCTTGAGCACTACATTCCATTCTCTTCCAACAAGAGCGAAGAGAAAGGAGTGCGAAGAGCTCATCTCAAAGGCACCTTCCAGTTCTACCATGTTTTGATTCTAGGGACACAAAGACAATAGAATGGAGAAATGACTGGTAAATTTTTAAACACTATTTGCAGGGCTCTTTTACTGAGAGGTAATTCTCCAACCTCCTTCCTCCCCCAAACACACATACACACTAAAATGTCAACTCAGCGAGAGCAACGATCTGAATTGATTCAGCATCATGTCCTCAGAGAAAGCAAGTGTTTGGCATACAGTAGGCACCCAACAAATAGCTAAGAATGAATGGCTCCAAGGTCAGAGGTAAAGTGGGTAGTCAGTGATAGAGAGTTACCCACATTGTCTTGAAAGATAATGGAAGACAAAAAACTTCCTTTTCAACTTTGAAAAATAACTAAATAACAGTAAATTGCAGAAGAATTTGGCAAGCCTTTTCCTTGATAGATGTTACTTAGGCTAACCATTTCTCCATTCTATTATCTGCCAAGTGCAGGACATTGAAATCAGTAATTGTCACAACTGCCAAAACAATAACAATTACACTACAGCAATAGTGACAAAAGGAGTTTATTGTAATTATACCAAATCTGTTTTGAGTTACTCATGCCCATTGAACATTTGCATCAGAATATCTTAGGGCAAGGTCTGCTTTATTGAGTGCAGAGATTATAATTTTCTTTCTGAGGGATGCAGGAAATACACTGCAGAAAACTGACTCAGAGATGCTAAACTTTTCATTAAGAAAAGGTTTTAATACCGCACCCTGTATGAGGCAACCTCATGCCAAATCGCTCTTCCTAGAGCTACTTACTCAGAGGACAAATGAAGTTGGGAGGAAGATATTACACTAAGCATCATCTCTAGTAACTTGTTTCTGAGCCAGATTGTCTTTCCAGATGTTTGGCTTCCAGCTACAAAAAAAGAAAATTCAGATTTGAGGGAAAACGGATGTAAAGAGACATAATATTTGCTATGGTATGCAATTGTATTCACCAAATGTTTTGTTCACCCAGAAAATAGGGCATGAATGGAACACAAAATTTTGGCATTCAGTTCTAACTGGGTGCGTGAAAAGAATTTCAGAACGCCTTTCTATAGTTCCCTTTAACCAGAGAAATTTTCAATGTTCCCCATCTCTCCTACCCCCATCCCCAAAATGCTAAAATCAAATCTGTCTTCCAGTAGAAGAGGTTTTTATAATTATCATTGACTGCAACATTTCTTGAGCACCTACAACATGCTGGTGATTATTTGAGTTAATAGGAACAGAGAGTGAAGACTCTGGTCTTTGATCTCAGTTCCTGCTCTCAACTTGCTTCTATGCCTTCAGCATATCCATATTGCCCTTGGAAATAATATTTGAATTATAGCAAAAAGTATATAAGTCTCTTGGAAGAAGAAACATTACTTCTGGAGAATTAGTATAGCTCTGAAGGACACATTAACACCATCTCATAATAGAAGATATTTCTTCTGATACAAGTTTCGGAATGGAGACCATATAAGAAGTTCCCTGTGGCCCATTATCCACAAATTCAGTCCCTTGGTTGGCGAGTTATCTACAACCAATTCAGGGTGCACACTGTGATGCAGAAATAGAACTGACAAGGCTACCTGGACAAATGGAGCCCTATTTCCTTTATTTGGTCCCATCTCTTACTAAAGTCCTAATTGTTCTGAGCATCAATTCCCTCATCTGAAAAATGAGAATTACAATTTCTCCCTTTTAGGCTTGACATAAAGACAAGAGACAGGTTGTTTAGATTGAGTAACATTGTACAAGAGAATCTTTTGTGATCATAGGAATGTCTAGTAGCTTCCCTGTCCAAAGCAGTAACCACTGGTCCCTGGTGTGACTATTGAATTCTTAAATGCATTTTAGCTGGATTAAATGGAAGTTTAAATAGTCGCATGTGGCCAGAGGATCCCATCTTGGACAGTACAGATCTGGAGGGACCAGGACAATTAGTCAGTTATTGTTCCCATCACATCTGCCCTAGTAGAGGGAATGCAGAAGATTATGTAGCTGCTGTTCTGCAACTGGTTGGAGGAAAAAAGAGACTCAAAGAAATAAATCACAAACCTGTGCGTTAAACTGAAGGAAATGCTAAGGGATGAACACTGACGAGGTGGCAGTCTGTCATGGTGAGGCTGGAAATGGCTAACCCAGCGGGGGTTGGGGGTAGTAGGGCTAGGAAGATTCCTGAGATGGGAATAGACCTAACGTGCAAGCATGGAGTTTTGGGAGCCCTCCAACGCCTTTCCAGGTTCAGACAATCTGATTTGATTGGTAACCTAGATCAGAAAACTATGACCTCACAAGTCACTCTTCGGGGACAACTGATCAGCTGTGGGTGACTTCCACTTCTTGTCAGCAAAATGCTCCCACATGTGCCTCTCTGTTGCATGGAAGAGTCATCTTGCTGCCTTCAGACTGGCATCTTGGAACGATTTCTCACCTTGCAGTGAAGGGTCTGGGACTTCGTCCACGCAGATCTGCCTCTCGTTCACTGATGAAGGTTTGAGAGTGTACACAACAAACAGTCCGATTCTTAATGCAGAGAGAAAAGAACATATTTGATTGTGATCTTAGCCTGCTTCTGCTGAGCATACCGGACAGCATTCTAGACACATCCACCCAAATGCAATTTCAAGGAGGGTTTGAGTGGAAGCACATTATTTTATGATCAATACAGTATTTCAAGAAACTTCTAAAACCAGGATTCGTCCAAGCAGTTGACTCTGCTAGATTAGTGCAGCAGATAGTGGTGAGGAGGGAAAAGGCTAAATGTGCTAGCTAGGATTGTCCTTTGGGCATTCTGCAGAAAGCAGATATGCTAGGTTAGCAACTGGCAAGGATGGCTGTGCTCACCAAAATTCTTAAATTTTTGGTGCTATAGGCATGTCTGTGTACCAGGGAGGAGTGAACACATATCCCTGCTGGGGTGTCTTGAACCACCCCTTTTCTCCACTCTTGACTCCAGAAGTTTCCAAGAGATAGAACCTGCCATTGCATTGAAGGGTGGGATGGTGCGTTGAATGCAAGCAGGAGAGAATGAGGCTCTATATTCCCTCAGAAAATATCTTAAGGTCTTGCCCTCCCCGCCCCCCAGAAGACTGACACTGTACCTGAGAAAGTCCCGGATGCTGAAATGGCCCTTTAGCTGATAACCCAGGATGGCAATGACGGTGGGGATCTTGGTGGGTGTGAGACCTGGCTCATTGAAGAGGAACACAAGCTTGGGTATAAGCCATGCCTGATGAGCAAACTTAGCATTCCGGGGTCCTTCCCTGGTGAGCCCAGGAGAGAAGTAGTAAAAGCTTTTACTGGAATGAACCAACTTTGTTATGTTTCTGCTAAAAAGTTTTCCCAGGCTGGGCTTTCTCCGTGGCCCCTGAACTCCACTGTTCTCTTGGCAACTCATCAAACACTATCAGACACCCATCGAATATGTGTCTGCCAAGTGCCAGAGTTGCTAGGGGATGAGCCTCCCATGCCCTTCCACCCCTCCCCCCCGCCCCGGAAACTGCCTTCAAAGACAAGCCCCAATTATTGATTTTTAATTCCAAGCCTTAGGGAAAACTAATACTGGTCTCAGAAAACTCAGAACAAAGACAGCAGACTGGTGTGTGGCCACGGAGCACTTCCCACCAGTCAGGAGCTTGGGCTTTGAGAGAGCCTGTCTGGATGTGTGCTCTTCCTGCCCGCCCCAAACCACAAAGTGGATGAACATGCTGCTGAGAGTCAAAGGGGAAAAAGACAGAATTCAAGCATTCGCATCCCCCTCCCTAGGATAATCACAAATCCAATTTCCAGTAAATTCTACCCCCCAAAGAAAACAGCAACCAGGGTAAAAGCCTACCTTTTGAAAACAACAGATACAGAAAGAGTGTGGAATATGGAAGAATAAAAAAGGTTGAGGATAATGAATTTGGGTAGCTTGTTCCACTCTCAGTTAAAGTCAACCAAAAACCAGAGCCAGATACACAAAAGAGAAGACACATCCCAGATGTGTGCAACTTGTGTTCACCGAACCTACAGGGAAGATGTGTGCCCGTCTGCTGTGAACTCAGCTATCTCTTTCTTATCACAGCACTAACCACCTCTTGTGTATTCTTTCTCCACAGAACTGTGTCTTGTTCTTTCTGAACTTCCAGCATTAAGAAGAGTGAAGTCAAGTGGGTATATATTAGATATTCAATCATGAGTGACTAAGTGAACAATGATTAAAATATATCCCAAATCCCAATGGTGTGGTGATTGCTACACCAGCCCAGCCAAAGGGAAGCAAATGGACATGGGTGTGGACAGCTGACGGGCAAGGAAGGGGATGGACTAATCTGTTGACTCCAATGCCTCCCTTCTCCCTTACTCTGATCATAGCTGGTTTTCTTCAGTAGTGACCTCTTTCTAACACCCCTCCACCCACTCCAGAAGGGCCTGCCCATGTGAACCAAATGGGTCTAGTGAGGCACCATTCTATTGCTAGGGATAAAGAAGGCCCTTTCTCTCCAAATTCTGTTGAGTGGAAGATGTGCTCTTCCCAGCAGCAGCTACCTTGCTGCCACTGAAAACCTGTCAAAATGAAGCTGGCAGGAGGAAAGAAGAGAGACATGGGTGATAAATCGCTGGTAAATGATGTGAGCACCCCCTCAGTCACACACAAATATCTCTGCCCCATTCAACTGTGCAAACCATAAACTCCATCTTTCTCCCCTTTCCTTTCTCTCTTCCTCCTCATTATCCCTCTCTTCTGTCCTTGAGTTCGGTTGTATTTCTTCCACTTGTAACTAAAAGAGCCCTGACTGATTCAAAAAGTATCTGAGAAGGTTAGAGAAATAGTGCATAGTGAGGCCTCCTTGCCATACTTTGGGAGCTCTGCTGTAGAATGAATGGGTGTCCCTCTCCCCCAAATTCATGTGTTGAAACGTAACCTTCAAGGTAATGGTATCTGAAGATGGGACTTACAGGAGAGTCTGAGGTCATGAGGGTGGGTCCCAAATGAATAGAATTTGTGTCTGCATGAAGGAGTGCTCAGTGAACTCTCTTGCCCCTTCCATCACGTAGAGTTATAGGGAGAAAATGGCCTTCTATAAACCAGGAAGCATATTCTTACCAAGATACCTAAATCTGCCATAATCTTGAGCTTAAGACTTCCAGCCTCCAGAATCTTGCGGTATAAATTCCTGCTGTTTATAAGCCACCCAATCTACAGTATTTGTTATAGTAGCCTGAATAGTCTAAGACAGATGTGCTGCTTTCTAGGCACCCAGTGCCCTGGGAACAGAAGAAAGTCATAGTTCCTGAACTATTAGCCATCCTTCTCTCTCAGTTCCTGTTCTTGGCATGAAATCTTTAGTTCTAATCCTCAGGCTGCCAAAGCTCAGCCCACCTTGGTGATCGAAGGATTTCCGTGAGATGGGAAAAGAGAGAGAGCTCCAGGTTGTCTGCAGTGTTCATCCAGAGCTGGAAGAGAACAAACACATAGTGAAGGCAAGATTTGTGCTAAGAAAGCTTTCCAAGCAGTATGAGTACATAGCGTAAGGGTATCTGCAGATAGTGGAAGGTTATCTCTTATGTAAGAGATGTAGTTTCCTTTGACACTGAATGACACAGTCTGTGGTCTCTAGAATCAGACCAGCTATCCTGACAGAATGTACAATGTCTCTCTAAAATAAAAGCACTGTTTTTCTCCTCATCTCTGCTGCTGCCAGGAGGTTTCTCTGTGGCTCTACATTACAACCAAAAGACAACTTCATGCCCTATGTTTGTCCCACACTGGGTCCTACAACTTTTGTGGCCATACACCAAATGCATCCTCAAGAATCCTTCCAGCCAAATGCCCAAATTCCTATTTTATGCAGTGGTTTCTGGGTAGAGTGATAGATAGCTGCTAAGTGTTAACTCATTTAACTCCTCATTTAAGGCTGTTGCTTCTTTATTTATTCTCTGTTCTGTTGATCTGTCCATAGCTCTAAGTGGAGTGTTAAAACACCCTAGTATCTTTGTGTTGTTGTTACACTCTCTCTCTTTATTTCTGTTAGTAATCGTCTTGTGTATCTTGGTGCTCCATCCTTCATTGCAAACATATTTGTGAATGTTATTTCTTCTTGTTGAAGTAGCCCTTAATCATTGTAATATCTTTCGCTTACTAGCTTTTCAAACTGGGAATCTTCTTTATGTGATATAGGTATAGCTGTTACTGACTTTTTTAAAAAAAAAAAAGATTTATTTATTTATTCATACAGAACTGGGGTAGAGGCCAGAGATGCGGAGGGTGAGAGGATTCACCAGAGACAGAGTGGGGAGCAGAACAGGCAGATCGACGAAGTACACTGCTGAGGGGAGCATCGGGCGGCCAGGAGAGGTCTGCCACGCCATGTGGTCTCCTCCAGGGCAGGCGGGGGATCGAACCCATGCGGAACTGGTCTAAGCTGTGCCCTAACCCGCTGCGCCACCAGGGAGGGCCCACTGACTTTTTTTTTTAAATGACTGTTTGCTTATAGGATTTGCTGCTAGTCTTTAACCCACAGTAGAGGCTAGACAATTTTTAGAAACGACTTTATGTAATACCAAATGTCTGAAATTTAGAAAATATGGATAATTTATGTCAGTTTTTATTTTGTATTATATAACCCCTATAATAAAGACTTGTTTAGATGTCTGGAGTAGACTTGTTTGCATATCAAAAGCAAAATGTATCAAATTCTGTAATTTCCCTATTCCTGAGAATAACTTATTCTCAAAATGAACTTCCTAGTCCTTCTTCAAGGAACCAAAACTACCTTAGACTTGAATGCCTTCAACTTCCTGTTTCTCCACTGCTTCTCAGCTTTCTGTCTCTCCTTACTTCTAGTCCCTTGTTGCTTCTGAACCTTCTAGTGCCTTTTGCATCACAATTTCTTGCCCTTTCCTATTTCTCTACTTCTGGTCCTCATTGCTTCACAACTGCCTGTCCCTCCCTAATTCTCAACTTACTGTCCCTCCCTGCTTCACACCAGTTATCAAGACTACCATCCCTCTTCTTTTAACCCACTCTCTTGTCTCCAGACCTTCCTTCTCCTTTAAGGGCTTGTCCCATCAATAGTTGATTTTCCTACCAGTATTTTAACCAGTCATTATTCGCTGCTCTTCCTCCTCAACCTTCAGCCAGAATCAAGTCTCCTAACTAAAGTCCTGAAACCTCCTCCTCTCTTCTTCACTCCTCTTTTCTTCAGAGGCTCAATGGCTATCTGTACTCTTCTCCACTTTTCACCCCACTTTTACTTTCTAGTAGGTTTGTCAGTGACTTCCAAATGCACAATGCCACCCTTGGTTTATTTGATATAATCATATTATTTTGGAAAGTTTCTTCTTTTTTAAAAATTCTTCCAAACTTTTACATTTTGTTTTAGTTCATTTTAGCATCTGATTCTTATTGGTTGCATGTTTTCTTAACCTCAACTTTAAAAGCACCAGTTTACCAATGTGATAATTTACACAAGGAGGAAGTGGGATGCTATCCCCGGGTCATTCCAGAAAACAGGAATAGGAGCATGCTGGATTCCTACATGGGCAATTTCTGTGCCGCAATGATGACAAGGATGCCTTGGAGCTAAACCTGGGCACAGCCACAGAATTCCAGAAAGGGCAGCTGTGCAGCCAATGTGTGCTGCCTTGCCTGGCACATGTACAGACATTTATGCATGTTTCCTTTCCTGGTGTGTTGAGAGCACATATCTCAGGTCTTGCTGACTTCCTCCACAATCCTTTCATCCACCTTCAGATCCAGGCTCAGTGTTCATCTTGGCTTGGTTCCATTAATATTTTATTTAGGGTATCTGTAGATATGTTACTGGCCTCTATTTTTAATGTTCTATACTGTCCTTTTAGAGATCTGATATGAAGATTAACCAATAAAGTAGGCTTTACAGAGAACTGGAAGCTTATATGACTGGAACAGATAATTTCCAGACTAATAGAATTTCCCCATAAAAGTCCAAGTTCTGGACTTGCTTTATGGATGTTGTTTGTAGCATGAATCCATTTATTTGATGGTTATAGGATCATTTGAATTTGTTTTCCTTTTGAGTAAGTTTTGGAAACCTAATTTCCTTGGAGATTGTTCAGATGAGCCAAGTTTCCAAATTTATTTTCACAAAGTTACTGATGTTTCCTTTCCAGTTGCTTATTCCTCTAGTTATTCTCCCTTTCCTTCCTAATAAAATTTAATAGTGCCTCGTGTCTATTTTTATTGACCATTCTCAACAAGTTTGCCTATTTTATAAGAACCACTTATTAACCTTTTTCAGCTTTTCTACATTTTTTTCCTATCAGATACAGTTAATTTAAGCTCTCATTTTTGTTTGTTTTTCTTTCTTTGAATTTTGCTTTTGCAGTTTCTATTGGTGCTGGATTTATTTGGGTGGTCAGTTGTTTGGTTTTGGTCATTCTGGAGGCACCTTTCATTAATTAAAAGTGGTCATTATATATGTCATATAATATGACAATATGACATATATAACATATATAATATGACCACATATGTGTGTGTGTGTATAAAAGATCCATCCATCCATATATTGATGGATATAAACATTGATGACCATAAATTCCTCTAAGTCCAACTTTCAGCAAAACCCCTCCCCATGTTTTTATATAAATTTGTCATTGTCATTCTATATTTTGAAGTAAACTAAAGACATGTCATTAGTGATTTTGTTCTAAATTACTTCTAGTTTTAATTACGTTCCTCATTTATCTTCCTCCTTATCCCATTGCCTTTGCCACAATTCAGGTTTCAAAATCTTCCCCCTGGATTTCTGCAACTATCTTACGCCAGCCTCCTTTCCAGGGACTCTTCTAACAAGAATAATAAAACCAAAATAAAATTCTAACATATCACTCTTTAGTTTACATCCTTAAGTGTCACTGATAATGAAACTTATTTCAACTATGATCATTTATTCTAAGGAAATATTTTTTAAAGTGAAAGAAATAGGGCCCTCCTTCATGGTGCAATGGGTTAAAGCACAGCACTGTGTAGCTATCACAGCCACTGCAGCACAGAGTTTGATACCAGGTCAGGAGGAGGTGACCCACATGGCACAGAAGACCTCTCCTGACCCACCCATTGCTCCCCTCAGCAGTGTATTTCAGTACATCTATGTGCTCTGCTCCCCACTCTGTCTCTGGTGAATACTCTCACCCTCCCACCTATGAATAAATAAATAAATATATGAATAATGTATGAATAAATAAATAAATCTTTAAAAAAATAAAAAATTGGGCAGAAGAGCTCTCCAAAGAAGAAATGTAGATGGCCAACAGACATATGAAAAAATGTTCAGAATCACTTGTAATAAGGGAAATGCAAATCAAACCATAATGAAATACCACCTCACACCAGGGAGAATGGCACATATTAAAAAAAAAAAAGGCAACAATAAATGTTGACGAGGGTGCGCAGAAAAAGGAAAGGTCTCCTATACTGCTGGTGGGAATGCAAACTGGTGCAACCACTATGGAAAGCTGTGTGGAGGTTTCTCAAACTGCCAAAAATGAAGCTTCTATATGACCCAACAATCCCACTCCTAACCAAAGGACACAAAAACAGTAATTCAGAAGGACACATTCTACCCTATGTTTACTGGTGCCCTATTTACAATAGGGAAGATGTGGAATAAACTCAAATGCCCCAAAATAGGTGACTGGATCAAGAAAAGTTGGTATATATACACAATGAAATGTTACTCAGCAATATATATATATATAGTAATTGTAATAGAGTAAAACAGAGCATCAACTAACAACTATAAACCAGAGACATTCTACGGGGGAGAAGGAACAAGATCAAAGCTGGGGTGGGAAGGGCACATGGGACTATGGTGACGGCACGTGAGTGAAGAGTTGGTGGGAAGTGCACGGGGATTACAACTGATATGAAAAAATGTACAAAATGAAGAATATTGTAAAAATATGTTTATAAAAGTTTTTTAAAAATACACACTCAGTACTCTTTCCTCCCCCAAAATAAATAAAGTTGGAGAAATATATCTACAGAAGTGCTGTTTCCAACAGCATTCATAACACACAGAAATAGTCTAAGAATTTGACAAAGAAGGATGGTGAAGATACTAGGGACTATTCGCAAAACATAATTATTTCTTAGAACAATGTTTATAATAAGTGTTTTTACATATTTATGTTACATGAAATAAAGAAGAACTCAAAATAATCCCTAAAATATGTTTGTAACTATGGTTATATATACATATAGATGTATCATGCATATAAATACAAAAAGGGAAGGGTATATTCAAAATTTACAGCAGTTACCTAAGTCTCAGAAACAGAAGTCCTTCCTCCTGACTTTTCTGTAATTTAAAATATTCTATGATAAGCATATATTATTTTTTAATTTTAAGACAGTTTTTAATATAGTCCCATGGACTTCCATGTACATCAGCTAAAGTAAATCCAGGTGGTCGTATGGAGGGTGTGGGTACTGATTATCACTGTATCTCCAAGATACTGCAGTGCCCAAACCACAGGAGCATGAAGTAAATGATGTTATGTGAATGAATTGACTGGCCCCAAAGAAATGCTATGCAGTACTTCTCACATACTCTCAGAAGCATCCTTCGGTATCTCTTAGTCATCCCTCTAAAGACACATTTGTCAGCAAAGCACTGTTCAAAGAAATATTTTTTTAAACCCTCTGTGTAATGGCATATTATAAATTTTAAATCTTTCCCAGATACTACCTGGTTTGACTGCTACCCTAATCTGTGAGGGAAGGTCTTCATCTTACATACAAGAAGATGAGAACTTAGAGATGTCAAGAGGATTGCCCAAGGTAACATAGCTGATTGGTGGTAGAATTTAATTATAAGTCAGGGCCTCTGAACTCCAAAGTCTTTGTGTTTTTCCCTCTCACCACAATAATGACTATTGAGGAAACTGATCTTAGACTTTAGAAGACTCTCTACACTCACCACACACACACACACACACACACACACACACACACACACTCCCTTTAGGCTAATGACCAATTTCCAGATTACCTCAAAATTGCAGAGGATATGCTGGAAGACACCAAGGTTAATGGTAGTAGGTGACCCAAAACCCAGCTCTGCAGTGCCAGCAATGGAGAGGATCAGCTGAAAAGTCCGATTGTTTAGGAGAGAGGTCTTCTTCCTCAGGAGAAATGCCATTATCTGAAAGGTTAAAACACAAAGAATTGGTGGTCCAATTCTATTCTTCTAATATGTTGATTGTTTTCATTATCTTAAGAATGTCATTAGGATTCTTTCTCCTTCCACTATTTGATCTTACCAGCACCTTTGGTCAGCCATCTGTTTTCTTCTGCCATCTCCTTCATGACCATTTTCTCAGAGGAAAAACATACCAACTTCCTTGGCTGCTTCATATCAATTTCCACTTTTCTACACTGATTATGTTTCTGAGTATCCTTTATCATTTTCCTGCCTTGGATCCTATGCTCATGACCATCCCATATCACCAGGAGCCCACCATCTACCATGAGTCCAGTTACACTCAGTCTCACTTGAGTCCACAGCCACCCAGTATGTCATTCTATTGTGCCAAGCCCTGAGAAGCTAGAGAAACAAAGGAACCCATACCAGGATGGACCCCAGAGCCCCACACCCAACTCGAAGATGATGAAGAAGGACTCTAGCCAACCTCATATCTTTATTGACCCCAATCACACAAATTCAGGCTTTCCAGACACCCAAGGACATCTGGGTCCTCATACATCTCTTCTGGACTCTCATCTCATTTCATCTCCAACTCAATTCCATATACACACATATAATACAGTCTACCCTTCTCTTTTTCTTCCTGGGTAAGTTCTTTCAATGTGCCATCAGTAAGTCTTACTTGTATCATGAACTGAAAGTTTGTGCCTTCCCCAAAATCCTATGCTGAACTGCCTGTTTCCCAACATGATGGTGCATGCAGGAAGGTCCTTTGGATTAAATCAGGACGAGTTGAGTTCATGAGGGTAGAGCACTCATGAATGGATAAGTGCCCTTATAAGAATCACAGGAGTGCTTGTTCCCTTTGATCGCTGCCAAACTAGAACACCATAGGAAGTTGACCACTTACAATATGAGAGAGGCACTCACCACCACCTGACCATGCTAGCACCCCAATCCTGAGCTTGTCAATTTCCATAAATTGCTATTGTTTATACGTCATCCAGTCTATGGTGTCTTAGTAGCCAACTGACAAATCTTGTGATCAGCAACTGTTCTGATAAGTTCTTTCACCTGTCTGAAATCCGGCCACTTTACCTTGTCCCATAGTAGGAGAATTACTTAAGAAAAATTGTACACTCAAGTTGACTACATTCACTTTATAAATGTCAAAGTGGTACTCAGTTTGGTTTGGTGATCCAATTCTGTTCTTCTAGTATGTTGGTGTTTATATTATCTTAAAGATGATGACTTCATCTCTTCTCTCTTACTCAACCTTCTGTTCCCCTCTACCACTGACCTCACCCTCTACCAAGAAAACAGAATCCACCAGACATAAGCACTCACCTCCCACCACCAGGTCACCAAGCCTATACTGCACTTCCTCATGCCACAGCAGGGTCTTCATCCTCCTGCATCTGGATTACGCCCTTCCCACTCTTTTTTTTTTTGTTCTGCTTTCATGTCTAAAAGTACATAAATCCCTGCATCTGATTAACTCTTTACTTAAATGAGGTATTTGGAAGTCCTAGCCTCATGATGATATTTTTCTAATATTTTCCCACCCCATTAAACTGTGATACAGACTGAATATTTTGTCTCTTCACATTCATATACTGAAAACTAACTCCCTTTTTGTCTTAAGGTATTAAGAGGTAGAGCCTTGGAGAGGTGATTTGGCCATGAGGATGGCATCCTCATAAATAGGATTAATGCCTTTATGAAAGAGACCTCAGAAAGCTCTCTGTGTCTTCTGTTACTCAGAACACAATGAAAAGCTTGCAGTTTATGAATGAGGGTGGAAGCTCTCACCAGATACTGACTCTGCCAGCCCTTTGAGCTTCCCTGCTTCCAAAACTACTGTTTGTAAACCACCTTAGTCTATATCTTTGTTTGCAGCCCAAACAGGCTGAGCGGGACAGTAATACCAACTCTCCCAGCTCCCTGATCTTAAACTTCCCAGCCTCCAGAACTGCTCTTTGTAAACCACCTCAGTCTACACTGAGTCTACACCTCAGTCTACAGCAGCTCAAACAGGCTGAGCTGGGCATTAAGTTGTATGGAGGAAGAAAACCCAAATTCAGTGCCTGGTTTCCAGGAGGTGCGTAGTCACTGTGAGCTTAGTAAACAGATGCTTTTCATGGGCCACTCCACCTCCTCTTCCTGAAAAACTCAGGCAACCAAGTCCTGCAGCCTCCTTTGGTTGCTTTTCTTTCTAATGAAGCCCCTTTTGACTCCCCTCCCCACGTGTCATGTTGGTCGTCTTGGCAGTTCTATAGTGTGCTGTCTGTCCCCTTCAAGCACTATGGTGATACTCACTGACCCTCACTGAGGACTCATGATGTAGCAAGTGCCACACATGTCCCTGAGGGGGTCAGAGAGATCCCAACGCTAAGGAGCACAGGAAAGATGGCTAAAGTACCATCGAGTTACAGACTATATGGTCTACAGACCACATTCTGGAAGAGAAACTTGAATGCAGATACTTGTTGCATTCAATTTATACCAAAATTATTTTGGTGTTTATATTATTTGATTCCAGGAATACCCACAAAAGCAGAAATTGCTTTATATTGTCCTATGCTCACAATAATGATTAAAATCCCTAGTCAGAACAGATAACTATGTGCTGTCTTAGCACAAATCCCCCTATAGCCACCTTTAATGTGAAAATCAAAGAAAACGTTTATATACCAAGAGTCACAATTTTTCAGTTTTAATAGAAACACAGACAAATCCATTCACTTATTCCAAAATATTTCCTGAGTGTCTATTTGGTCTCACTAGTGGAAAAGAAAAGGAAGCAGCAGGCCTTCAGGTGATTATGGTGTACAGGAGATGTGCAAAGAGGTAACTGTAGCCCCAGGTGAGAGCCACTGGCACTGGGCATCTCACAATTGGCCAGGAGATGGCTACACTTACACTGTCAGCTCGGGCATCAGAGGAGATACCCCCTGCCATTTACATTTGATCTGGGAAAATAACCAGGCATATTCCTGGGGATCATGTTCCAAGAGCACAGGTATACAAAGTCATCCTCTATAACAAGCCAGGACCTTGTAGGAGTTGAAGAGGTAGGAGTGTAGGGTATGAAAAATTGGCTGGTTGGGAACTGGGGCTGAAAGGACAGGCTGGTGGCCAGTTTCAAAGGACCTTTAAAAACTAGTCTAAAGCCTTTGAGAGATTGTACTAGGTTTGTACAAGGGATAGGTAGCATCATGCCTGTAAGGCAGAATATGACTGTCATCAATGGGCCACAGGCAGGGCAGTAGGAAGGGGCTGTTTCCAACTTCAGTCCAGGCAAAAGGGGGCATGCCTAAAGTTTCATTACGCAGTTTTTTCTCCCTCTCAGACCCTGACTCAGGGGACTCTTTAGACATGGGGGCTTTCTCCCAGCCCCTGGACCAAGAGGAACCACTACAGCCACTGTGCCCTACAGACTTCGAACCTAGTTCTTTCCCCAGAAGATACCTGGGCAGTGACCGTGACTCACATGACTATGAATATTAAACAGCAATAACATTCACAGAGAACACCTACACAACAATTAATCTCAGCAGCACTTTTCTAAGTGCTCACACATATTAACTCAGTTAATCATCACAACCTTGTAAAACAGGTGCTGTTACTATTTCCATTTTTCACATAGGATAACTGAAGCACAAAGAGATTAAGAACTACAGAAAGCTAACATTTGTAGAGTTCTTATTCTGGACCAGATATAATTCTGAACCCTTCATTTTCATTGAATCATCCAGTCCTCATTGCAACCCCATCACACAGGATGTCAGTAACCCATGTTGTGTAGGTGTGGAAGCTGGGGCACAGGAAGTACATCACTTGTGCAAGGTCTAATAGCAAGTTTAAGGAAGAGGGAGTGTGGAAAGCCAGGACTCTTACTATTGAGCTTGGGTTTTTGCATCATGTTAGATGCAATAGTGGGGGTGCAGGGGGAACCACATGAGTCTTGAATTTATCAGTGAGTGAGAACAGTAGCCAGAGACAGGTGAGTAACCCCATCCTGATCAGAGCACTCTCTGGTTGTCACCTGGCCTGATGCTGTAACAATGTGGTCTCAAGACTCAGGAGCTTTCAACTTCCCTTCTCCAGAAGCCACCCTGGAGGGAATGTCTACTGGTGCCAGAAAAGTTCTTCCCTGCCCCTTTGGAACAACAGCCTCCTGAGGAGTCTCAAACTCAAATGGAAGGGTGGGGTTACCTGGTATCCAGAGATGTGCCTCATCAGGCGGTCACACATGGGATTGCTGGTCAGGACCGAGTGCAGGACTTTCACGGCTGCGTACATGGTGTGGTCATCTGTTGCTAAGGAAATGAGACCCAGGAGGATGGCGGGCCCGCCAATGAAGTCCAGGCTGCTGGCAGCGGGGCTGGAGTGGAACACTCTTACCCCTGTATGGGACAAAGGGGTGTATGTCACAGTTTCTCTGTCACAGAAAATTCCCTGACAGCACACAGGGAAAACGAGCTGCCCGTGCTAGTGATTATACATGGTCAGCACACCCAAGCCCGTGGGATGGATTGGGAGGAAGGGAATGGGTCTGTGAAGTCCTGGATCATGAGAGATACAGTGCTGAGTCTTTTCTGGGTCCCCAGGGGGCTACACAGCTCAGGGGAATCAGTTTGCCACCCTCTGTCTTAGTCCAGAGAGTTGGACAAGCCAATGTCTCTGAGTCCCAGTTAGCTGGCTATTCTGACAATCTGGGTATGGTCTGCTCTCTAGATCCTAAAAAACTGGATCTCACACTAACTTGCTGCTTTGTTCTTGCCCAACTGCAGGACATCAATAGTGAATGACCATTGTTTTCCATTCAAATAGATACAGCCATTGTCCTGCTGAGAGGCCTCACTTACTCACTAAATAGGTTCCCTTGCAAGGAGATGCCAGCCCATAGTAGCTGAGTTCATTGTCAACTATCAATTGTTTACAAGGTGAGCTGATCTCCCTGCTCTCTGGGAGGCCAATCCTTGGGCAGGGTTATCTCCCCAACACTTGCCTTCCTGGCTCCCCAACACACCAAGTGAAATGGAAATTCTGCTTGCCCCTCAGAATTCTAGGTTGCACAAATGATGACAGCCACAAATCCCTTCTTCCCAAATAACAGTAAAGGGTTATGACCTGACATACCTAATTGGCCAACAGCCACAGCGCCAATGGTTCGCAGAGGACCCAAGAGATGCCCAGCACAATTCCTTAGCAAGAACACAGGTGTGGCATTGTCACGAGATGAAATATTCATCTAGAGAAATTGGCAACAATTAGCCCTAAAAACCTTTCCTAGAAAGAAAGAGGTCTTGTCTGTGAGTTTCCCTTCAGCAGGCACCAGAAAGCTGACCCACTGTTTGCATTCAGTAAGAGGTGCAAAGCTGACCCACTGTTTGCATTCAGTAAGAGGTGCTCAGTGAGTGATAATGGACAACAGTTGAGCCAACATCAGAAGGAAAGCCAAAATTCAGGTTCCATGTCTTGCCTCCAGGGCTATGGTTTAATCACAAGGGAGAAATTTCATTGCCAGGGCTGCCTTCTTCCTCCTGCTGCTGTCCTGTCTCCGCAAGTCAGAGGCTCACTAATTTCAGGGGGTCAAGAAGAAAATTCTGGCTTTCTCTGCTGTTAAGGCGCAGCTTTGGTACTCAACAGACCTACTGCCCAATCCTTTCTTCTCAGGAAAAGGAAGTGACCCCTGTCTGTCTGTAAGGGTGAACAGAAAGTAAACAAATTGGTCCAAATTCAGAAGCAGTGAGCCAAAGAGCTATTTATTAGGGAGTAGGAAATAGCAATTCTAATAGCATCTTCATCTACAACATATCTACTTGCTGTTTAAACTAAGCACAGAAATTCACTTTGTAGTGTTAGTGCAATTGGGGGGTCCATTATGCCCCCAAAAGGGAAGCTCAATAGTGTTCCCCATGTCCCAAAGGTTTTTTTTTTAATATTCTACTTGATCCTGCTTTACTTCAAAGAATGAAGAACACTTACTTTCTTCTCTGAGCAATTCCAAATAAAAGGTTTAGTCTCAAGGGATGCAAACAGGTAAAAGGCACCAGATATTTTAGCCAGTGAAGCGGAAAGGCACCTGTGTGTATCTGTCTACACACAGTGCAAACCTGAGTTCGTATTCACCTAAGCAGAAAGTGAAGACAGCCATGAGAACATGATTACAAAGGGAGTAGTAAGAGGAGTTAGACGACATACCTCTTTGGCAATCAAGCGGCTGTCCACCTCATTATAAGTGTTTCTGATGTCAGCAACACTGGTGATGGACGAGCTGGCTATGTGAAGGCCAAAGGAAAGCTTTTCTTCTGCAACCAGGGATGTTGCTTCCACACCAGAGTCCTCTCCTAATATAATACATCTTCAATTATTTCTAGTCTCATAAAGAGTAAAATTATTCCTAGGAATGGTAAATGCCTACTGCTATATGACAAAGTCATCAATGAGAAAACATTTGTATGTTTCCCATTGAATGCTTGAAAGTCTATATCTATATGTTTTGCACCCACATGCCTCACTATAAAACAGAGGCATGCCAGGTGTGAAATTACTAGAATTTAAAACATCCAACATGCTAAGTGTTATTACCCCCAAAACCAAAATGCTAAGTGGTATTAAAGCTGCTTTATGAAAAAGGGAACAGGCTGAACTAGAAGGACAGTGAGCTGCATACCCATGATAAACATCCCACTTGGAGTTAGTGGTCTGGCCCCTACGTGAAGGGAAGCCACACATGCGGGCTACTTGAGAAACGTGCCATGAATAGAGCACTGGTGAAACTCATTGTAGTTCTGATGTCGCACTGCTCTGTACAATGCCATTTGCCAGAGGAAATGCGCTCAAAGAAGTCGTGAAGTGTGGAGACAGGCATTCTCGCCCTCCACCAAGCCCGAGGCTTCCGTATGTAGACTCATTTATCATTCTTCCCAGATGGGAGCTGACCCCCTTGACTTGACTGAGTACAAAGAGCAATGCTCCCTGCTTGAACAGCCAACAATCAATACTGAAAATGTGAATGTTTTGTCTGCCTGTTTAATAATTGAAGACAACAGTATACTTTAGTTAAAAAGCTTCTTCATTAAAAGGAATACAACTTATTTATCTCATTCTCCTCTTTCTTTGCAGATGGTACTACCCACCCACTACCTCCATTATGTGTGCTAGAGTTGAAATGTAAAGGATATTGTCATTTCCTTTTCTGCGACATTTTCTGTTGGGTTGTAAATATATAATGATCCAATTACAGAGGTCTTCCCTAATGACTGACCTATGCTGAGTTTATTCTTCATAAATATCCTATAAATAGCTGGATGTCCATTTAAAATATAACATCAACAAGAACATTATGAATCAAAACACTCCATACCTTGGGTATGCACAGCTTGGAAGTTACCACAGTATCTTGGGCCAAGTTTGTTCATAACTTCCAGAGTTTCCATTGATATGGCCTCTTCAAAGAGGTATGTAGGGCCAAGACGCCACACTAATGATGACTTCTGCTTCCAAACTCGAGGGGTAGCAATATATCCATAAACATCCACAAATGAAGAAGGATCCATTGAAAGGAAAGGTCCTGGTAATGCCTGAATGTACAACATCTGTTAAAATAAAAAGGACAGGGGGGATGGCAGGTGGTTAGCTTCAAAACCGATCAAATAAATACGTCAAGATCATATAGGTATCAAGTGATGTATCTTATTCTTTTCTCAAAATGAAAACTTATTTTATCTGAAAACAATTAAAAGGTAACACTTGAAGCTGACAAGTGTAACTCAAAACAGTTTAAAAGTTGCTGGTGAGAATGAAAAACTGACACTGCTTTTGGAAATAAGTTTAAAAAGAAATATTAAGATTCACTAAAAGGTCCATCCTTTTGGTCCTTCATTCCACTAGGAACCTGAAGGGTTATCTTTTAATTTATGTATGTTAATTGTTAGACTACAGAATGAAGTTGATTTTGTTTTTACCATGCAGTCTGTGATGTTGCTGAATGCACTAGTTGTAGGAGAGGGTTTTTTTGTTTTGTTTGTTTGTTTGTTTGTTTTTCCAGATTACATGGAATTTTCTGTATGGGAATGTCATCTAGAAGTAGAGAAAGTTTTATTTCTTCCATCCCAATCTGTATGTCTAGAATTATTTTTAGTACATAAGACTTAGTGAATGTGTTAATACCGAAAGACAATTTTACCAGAAGACAGCATCATTCATCTATAGATGTTCTATATAACTTATATTGTTCTGAATTCATGATTTCCATTCTGGTTAAGTTTTGTCCTCCTGGGGGGCATTTGAAAATATCTGGAACATTTTTGGTGGTAACAACAGGGCAGAAATGCTATGGCATCTAGAGGGTCCACAGACCCTGCTAAATGTCCTACTATATATAGAATAGGCTCTCACAGAAAATAATTATCTGGCCCTAAATGTCAATACTGATGAATTGAGAAACCTTATTAATAAGTGTCTCCATTCTGGCTACATATTAGAATCATCCAGGAGACTTTGAAAGCATTACCATATTACTCTATCCACAGAGATTCTGCTGTAATTGATCTGATATGTAGCCTGTGCCACAGAACTTGAAAAAGAATTTTCAGGTAATTCCAGAATACAACTTAGGTTGAGATGCTCTGTCTGGAACCTGGGAAGAATCTGCCCATATCTACCCACTATAGCCTTCTGGGAATTGCCCTCTGGCTCCTCTGGGACCCTTGACAGTGTCTTCTGCAGCAAGCCTGCCTGCTCACTTGATCTGCTTTATACCTCATAGCCTCAGGAGTCTCTTCACAGCAGGATGAGACACTTCCTCCCACTAAAGCAACATCTGTATTCCATTACCTTCTCTGAATAGGGGCTATCCTTTGTTCCTCTTTCATGCTCTAAGTCTGAGTCTTTGTGTTGGAGTCTTTGTAAATACTAGCACCTTGCTCTTTAGTGTGTGCACAGATCAGACAGACGCATTTGAACCACCAAGAACCTTCACCAGAAAGGAGGATCTTACACCCTGCTCAGACCTCCCTGAGAAACCCATGCTTCAACATGGGGGTAGTTTTATTTGTTCATTGTGGAGATTTATATTTTCTTATGCTTATTCTTAGTCATTACTGTCAAGTTATTATTTCCACAAGTGTTCTTATTCCATTCTTATTTACCTTCTCTCGGCTGTGTTACCTACACTCTATTTTCTAAAGATGCCCTGTTGATGCTGAACTCACCCAAGTATGCTGGACTGCAAGGCAATAGGGATTCACTGGACCCCACTACCGAACGAAGACAGAGAGCCTAACAGAGATGACTCTTGGGTGGCCAGCCCAAGAGTTTGAGACAAGAGTGGGTGGAGGGAACCATCTCACCTTGGCTGAGCCAATGACCTGTCCATCCAGGTAGGTGGAAATGGTACAATTCCTTTTCATTTCCTTAGTGACAACCACAGCCAGGTGATGCCACTGACCACAAGCCAACAGCGGGCCACATCTGACCCGAAGCTGCCGTCCTGCAGAAGGCTCAGAGGCATCTTCAGGTTCCATGACATCTGGAAGAGAGCACAAACACCAGCTCGCAGGGCCGCCATGGCTGCAGGAACCAGCAGGACATCATGCCATGCAGCCGCTCTAGCCCCACCCCATGTAAAATCATCACAATGGTGACCATTCCCGAGCTCTTGCTTTGTGCAGGACACTGTAGAGAGGACTGCTATAATATGAACGTGCATCCTATTCACAACAATCCTGTAAGGGAGGTTTTATCCTGATTCCCATTTTAGCATCCTGAGGCCTAGAGAGTTAGGCAACTCGCCCAAGGTGGTGGGTCCAAATCCCAGTCAGGCTCTGGGGTCTACCTGTACCAGCACAGCTCCACAGAGTGAGCCTTCCCTGGCATCATTCTGAGGGGGGGCTGGAGTGGGGGGAGGGTGGGCGGCTGTGCTGTGTGTCAGGCTGCCAGTCGTGCTCTGATCTTTTGGCTGCTTCACTATGAGGCAGCAAGATTCTCGGGGCACACAAGATCAGGTGAGCTGGGACATGTTGGGTTTGGTCCCCTCGGGCCACATTAGGCCACCAGAGGCAGATGATTTTAGAAGCCACGCTGAACTCTGAAAGGCAGAGGCAGAACCAGGCTCCAGCACCACTGAAGGAGGCTTGGCCACCGGGCCATCTGCTGCCAAGCACCAGCAACCCGCTGGATTTGGGGCTGAGAAGTAGCTCTGGCTCAGCTGTGTGCATACTCACACCTTTCTAAGGAGATGTCGCAGTGAGGGGAAGCCCTGAGTCCCCTTTGCAACCACTCAGCGGGGCCTAGCTATGTTCCCGGAAGACCACTGATCCACCTCTGCAGCCACCCTGAGGGCCGGGCCTCATCTCCTGGCCATTGTACCCAGGCCATGGCAGACATACAACAACCACTCATGTAGGCCTAGGTGTGGAACTCAAGGGAGCAATTTCAAAGGGTGAAGACAAATGAGAGATTTCAGCCATGCTTGTGCCAAGAACTTCTGACTCAGCCCCACTCCCCTGAGTGGAGGTAAAAGCAGCTCCTGCTCCCAGCACCTTACCTAGGGACTGAAACTCTTTCTCTTCTGTAGACACAACCAAGGAGAGGTCTTCCGGGCAGAGGCTGATGGAGAAGCAGACAAAGGGCTGCTCGGTCCTGGCCAGGTGGCGCACCAGGGTGAAGAAGTACAGTGGGTGGCCCTCAGGGACCCTGCTATGCCTGCCGATCAGGAACCAGCAGGAGAAGGTGAGGCCCCCTGGTGGAGGGAATGACCTGGCAGCACCTGGGGTAAGAACACAAGCCTGTGCTTAGTCTTTGTCCTGTCAGTGAAACCCCTCCTGACTCACTGTAGTTCGATTCAGCCCAGGATGGCCCTAAAAACCCTACTGGGTGCCTACATGTGACTCATTCACATTTCACATCAACTCCATGTAGCAGGATGCTCTTGTCTCTCCATCCATCCTCACCGGAATGAGTCATATTCCCACAGGGACTTGAACCTAGACCCTCAAAGTCTCTCTCCAGTTCTGTGCCACTGCTATTCTATTGCTGCCTGGTCACAGGAGTAGAGTGCGAGCACAACCCTGAGATCTACTGTCATTTTGTGGTCTGGTCAACTGAGCTAAAGCTGGACCCTGTGCTACATGTGGCAGGGAACAGTGCTGCATGGGGAAGACACCAATTTAAAGAGGCCCAAGCCCTCCCACCCCACAATGGGGTCAGCAGTACAGGTGGGGCTCACTGTCCACACTGAATGGTCAGGATCAGACTTAATGTCCTGTGCTGATGGGCCATGAATGCAACAGTTCATCTGTGCTCAACCTTCCCTAAAAACCAGGCCCTGGTCCTCCTGATAAATAGTACCTGGTTTTCATCTCAGTTCAGCATAGCAAGGCTCAAGAACAGGTCTGTTTCTGAATGACAGTCAACACAGTCACACAGTCACAACACAGTCACATTCTTCTCTAGAAAGTCATATGGTGGGGGAAGATGTCCATTTAAGCCTTTGTTAGTCACCAAAAAAAATGAATCTAACCCATGTTCAGTTGATAAGTCACCCCCTGAACCACACTGAACCCCCTCTCTACTTAGTCATGGGCCCTGGGGAAGAACAGGACACCTCCCCTAAGAGAGACATGGCAAACTGAAAGTGTCCAGTGTGTAGATACACAGGTCTCGAGGGAAGACACATGTTCTTTTGATAAGCCATGTGGAAACCTGACATAAAGACTCCCTATGGACTAGTTCTCTGGGCATGGTAAAGACAGCTTACCAAGGTAACCTCCACTTCCATCCCCACCCCCAAAAAGCACCTACCTGTCCCAGTCCCTCCAGAGACAGAGTATTCAGTGCTGGTTCCCATAACTGTAGACAAGGTCGGGATAAACAAACAGCTGGAAAGAGGAAAATGTCTCAGATCACGGATGTTCAAGCCAGCCTCTGGCCATCATACCTCCCCTCTGTCCTCTGCGGGGGAGCATGGGCAGAGTGTGGCCACAGCCAGGGGAGACAGGAGAGCGTTCTGGTCTTGCATGGATCAGGACTCTACCCCTGAGAAGTTAACCAGGGTATCCATGACCCAGACATTTGTACTCCTAATTGCTGAGAGCTGATAGGAACTACAAATTTGTAATCAATATAATTCATCTGAGGCACTGGGAAGTTCATAAAGCATATCTCAAATATGTGAGAGGCTGTCATACCCATAACCTTCCACGGACATATCAAATTCCACAAACGACGGAGCCAGGGCCGCCTTCTGCGGCTGTAGGTTGCGCGGAGAGGTCATGGAGATGAGACTCAGTGCTGTCTGCAGGGCAGTGGTGGAGCCCGGCTTCTCCCCAGAGGGTCTGAGGGCCTGCATGGCTGCAGGGCAGGGGCTAGCATCTGGGGTGGCTCCCACTGGACCTTCAGCGACCTCTGCTGCCACCGCCTGTGACCCTAATGCAGCATAAGAAGACATGGGCCTCTGAGCAGCATTCCCACTCTTCCCCACAGTAGACAGCAGCCCCAACACCACCACCTCGGCACCTAACATTTCCTAACCACCTGCAGGATGCTCTCCTGGGCATAACTAGGCCCCCTGTTGATTTTGTTCACAGTGAACCATGGTAACAATGTATTCCTTCTAGAAATTTCTCCCCTCCTCAATACTACTACCACCCCACCCTCCCAACACATCCCTTTCTGTTGCTGTTTCTGGCTCGCCCCATTGGCAGTCACTGACAGGGGCTTTGTCCTGGCTCCCTGACATCACTTGCTGTCAGAACAGCTCATGTCTTTGAAAGCTCACACCCCAACCTCGGGGCACCAGACCAAGCCTAACTATTCACCATTGCTTGTTAATCAGGCTACAGACATTGATGGCCAGTTGTGATCTTACAGTTAGCATGTCCTTGGCTTTCTCTCCTCCAAGTTGGTTGTCCCAGGTACCAAACCTGCTACTTGGATGTCCACACTCTGCTTTGCGCCCCTGGCCCCCTCACTCTGAGCTGTGCAAAAGCCATCACTGGGCATCACTGCCCAGGAGAAGCACTGGGCACTCTGGCTATGTCATTACCATACCATTGTTCCTGTGATCTATGCCCAAAGGGTTTAGCACATGCCCCCCATATGGGGGTGGGGTGGTCCTTCTCCTGCCAGGTCTGGTCTTCCCCTGGAGGCCATAGATCCCTGTGTTTTCCCTCATTTGCTCCATTAAGCAGGATGCAAAACCCTTTTTAAGATCTGTCTGCTTCCCAGCTGTTGTAAATGCCCCCATACAAGAGATGCGTATTCTCATTCAATCCCGGTTAACCCACCCTGTTCTCTCCTCTCTCACCTGAGCATCCAGAGTCCCGTCTGGGCACATAAGATGAAGTGAGTGTTTTCACTGCAGCTGATGGAGGTGGTGGGATTCCAAGACCTAGAAATTGTCTGAATATTACAACACACAAGACAATGAAGTGAGGACACTGTCAGGTGAAGTTTTCACCAGCTTCAGCAGAGATCCCAGATCTTAGAACCCAGCACTCCCGAGACACACTCTCTCTGCATTGCTCCCTGCCTGGAACCCCTTTTCTCAAGCTATACAAAAATGGGGCAGTCCTGTCCTGGCAGCCAGACCAGATATCTGGTGGGTTTATGTGCTGTTGGTTTAGCCAGTAAGCAGTTAGTGATCTAAGAAGAAAAGGAATTTGTTGGAAAATAACATTGTCATACTTTGTGTGTCGTTTCCAATGGTATTTAATAAACAGTGGCCAAGTGTGACAGAGGTGAAGAGGCTGTGTCCTGGCCACTGGCCCCTGCTGGCTGGCTGGCTGGCTCGTCTGTCCTCTGCGCTTGGGCCAGTGTGTTGGTGGGTTGCAGGTTACAGATCCTTCACCTCCCTCTCCTGTCTCTTTCCCTGACTCCCTCCCTTTCTTCCGTCCCCCTCCCCCGTCCTTCCTTCTTTCCTGCGTTACTTTTCTATGAAGTGCCATTGTTGCACGACCTTGTTATTATTTTAACAGACGGAATTTCTCCCCTCAGGTGTGGACGCCGCTGCTCTCCTACCACCAAAGTACCCACAGTCCTTCACCATAGTCCACTGTGCTCTGCCCCATTTCCCACCCGTTCTCACCCCTCTCATTCTCCTCCCCTCCCCAAGATGCCTCAGATCTACAGACAGCTTTCAAGAGTTGTTCTTAATGTATGTCCGTGTCTGAGTCTTTGTTTGGTTTCTCTATATTCCACATATAAGTGACACCATCCAGTATTTATCTTGCTTATTTCACTGAGCGTGATCCCTTCCAGCTCCATCCACGTTGCCACAAATGGCATTTTCTGATCACTAAGTAGTCTTCCACTGTGGACCTTCTGGTCTTCTCTGTCTGCTCTGCCCTCTGCATCTCCCCTCCCTGCTCACTTCTCTGGAAACCTATGGTTTCACACAGGAGCTGCCACAGGGAGGCTACCCCAGGGCTCAGTGGGCTCCACCTCTGTCTCCTGCATTATCAGGAGTCCTGCTGCAGCAGCTCGCACCAGTAATCTCCCTACGGTCCAGCATCCGAGGCGCGGTCAGGCCCTGACAGCCCGAGCAGACCACCCACACAGTCCTTGCCTCTCCTGCTCTACTGAACATCTAGCTGGCCCTCAGGACCCAATGCTCACATGTACTTGAAGCCTCCCACTTTATATCCAACCACCCCATTGTGGTCTCAGTTCCAGACAGCTGGTACTCCTCCTGCCATGAGCATGGCTGCAGGGCTCAGGACACCATACCTTAACACATCTGGTTCGATGGCCTGGGAAGCCAGCTTTTCGAAAATCCTGATGAGGCCTGAGTGCAGGGGGCTGCTGCTGCTGGTCAGGGCCTTGCGGCAGGAGGTCATGAGCGTCCTGAGCATCCCCGCCTCGCACATCACCTGGCGGTTCTTCTCTGATTTCACCAGGGACTGGATGTGACTTGTCAGGGAGCACTGGATCTCCTTGGAAAGCTAAGTGGTAATCAGGCAGTAAGTACGGAGGCCAGAATACTTTGTGGGTGACTGTGATAGCTCTCTTGAATTGGTAGTGGGGCAAAAGGGCTGTACCCATCACAGCCTGAGCCCAGCATTCTGGGCTTTTTGGGTGCTATGCTCACATACAAGTCCCGGAGGCCAGGCTTGGGGTGTTGGGAAGCTGAAGCTGCTGGCATCAGCTGCAGGAGAGGCAGATGACTGACAACAAACTGCAAGCTAGTAGGCCAGAGGTTTCATCTGCCCGGAAACTGGTGTTCAACCTGCGCAATGCTCAAGCAGTTTCTGGGTTCATCATTGACATTTCCAAGTCTAGGGATGTGATCTTGCAAAAGATGGAAAGATCCCATCAGGCAGGGGTCTGCCCGTGGGTAAGCATTTGGAACTGGGCAGGGACTGTCCCTTCTAGCGGCCCGACCCTGCCTCAGCTAGCCACGCTCATTTAACGCTACTGTGCTCTACTTCCAGGCTTAGAAGATCCAGCAGAATGCAGGTCGGCAGGAAGCACCCTGCATGAGCTCCTGGCTGGGCAGATGCCGCTCTCATTTCTCCATAGCCAACCACACTCTGCACAGGTCAGTTAACATCACGGCTCCCGTGGGAAGCCTCACTGGAGCCTCCCCGGCAGCCCCAGGTGTCCAAACACTTTCTCCATGTAGGCAGCTGCCTCTTGCCTGACCCTAATAGGTTTCAAATCACTTTATTATCTTTATGTGCTTGAAGGACATAGAATAGAGTACATAGAGTTGAATCAGCAAATATTGGAGCCAAATATAATGCATTGTCTTTACAGTCTTCCTTTTTGGCCATAAAATGACAACCCCTGAGATCCCAGCCCTCTGAGGAAACCAGTATCTTCAGCTTTTCAAAGTACATAGTACACCTCTTCACTTCTATGAAAAAAAAAAACTATCAGTTCCTGTTTTCACTAGCCAAGAGAAATCTTAAGAGGTTCTTCACTTGTATGACAAAAGTTGAAATGAAAAAAGAGCATCATTTGTTTGGCAGCAGCTATTAGAGGCTGCGAGAGCATGCCCCTCACCCCTTCCTGGGGTGATTTCATAAGGCTGTGTATTTAACAGATCATCCCTGCTTTTACTATACATGACTGTTAAGGTTTGATGCAATATTTGGTATGATTTAGTAGATTATTTGGGGGGTCTAGGAATGCTTTAATAATGTCCACATAAACTGGTGGTAATTGCTTCTTTGCTTTATGCCATTTTGGCTTACAAAAATATTTCATGGGACACTCTCCTTTCACACATCTGGAGAAGCCTATTTATAAATGGTTTGGGAGATGGAGTTTCCTTTAGAAACTCTTACATTCTCTTTTGTTGTTTTATAAGACAGTGTCTAAAGTGGAAAGGATACCCCACCAAGGTCTCCTTCTTCAAGTGAATCTACTGATCACAGAAGGGTACTCCTTCTCGGGAGGACAGCCTTCCTCCTCAAAATGAGCTGTCCTACCCGGAGATATATAACCCCATATTCGTGCACAGAGGCATAAATATGCCCATATACATTCCCACACATGCAGACACATATAAGCACATGCACACAAGTACTTTCCCACACACATGTGCATAGGTATACATGTGTGCACACACACATCTGCACAAGACCCCTTACTACTTACTACTGTCAATAAAGTGCATTCTTCGGCTCTGTGGTCCTGTTCATGCTTCATCTCCCCCCACAGACTTACCTTAAAGTTAGACCTCAGTTGACAGCATCTCCCCACTCAACTTCCTCCCCCAAACCATCCTTCGTCTCAGTCCCTCCCTCCATTGAGCCCAACCACATGCACCTTTATCATGGCTCTATGTCCAGGGAACACTGCCTGATCCCTGATCCCTACCATGTTCTGCATGCTATGTGTTCCTTCCTGCATCTGAGAAGCTCACCTCCACCTTCCCTCTTTTCCACTTTTGTCAAAGCAGTAAAGGAGCTTCCATAGTCTAGCCTTGAGATTTCCTGCTCCTAGAACTTGGGAGACTGCACTCTTTGAATTTGGGATGAGGGCAGGGAGACAGTCCGTTTGAAACGAGATGCAAAAATAGCATCAAAATATATTATTAATAAGAATTAAAAAGATTATCTACCATCTCAAGTTTTTATTACCAGTGCTTCACTTAGTACTTTTGGGATTTTTGGTTTTCTTTCTTTCTTTTTTTTTTTCTGACCAGGGAAGAATACTTAAAATCTAAATATGCAAAAAAAAGGAAAAAAAAGAAAGAAAAAAGTTTCAAAAGGGAGAAATGCTGATCTTGCCTAATGATGCCACAAGTTTACTCCAAAATTGCTCAATACCCCATAATGGAGGAGAGAAAATTGATCGTCCTCATTATCACTGCAGCTCTGTCAATACCAATATTGCCTTGTTTTGAATAAAATGTGCTGTTTTTTTCAATGTTGGTTCCAGTAAAATGGGGTTTTAGTGAAAATATGAGCAGTAGCAGGAAACCAGTCTGGTTTCTCCCCCTACAAATGGATTGATTTTCCTAACGCATATTAGTTCCAATGCAGGAAAGGGGGTGGTGGTTCAATTAGGACTCAGTGGTAAGCATGCAGGGTCACCAGGCTGGCTGGCAGCTGGACCCGTAAGGCAAATTATCACAGAGCAATTTGCAGGGGAGCCTGAAGGAGTTTTCTGCTTTCTTCACTTAACAGTTGAGTTTTCAAGTCCAGCCTTGTCCACTATGAATGTTTATTCCACTTTATCTCTCTGCCCCCCACTTTCTTTCCTGGTCCAAATTAAGATGGTTCCAGAGCCCCATGATGGCTACGATGGTGGGATCTCAGCATTTGAGGGGTGGGTTATGGGCACATGAAACCACATGTGTGTCTCCATTTTAACCACATTGTCCTGACAGAGACAAAAAACAATCAAGATCACTAGCATTTATTTCCCCCATACACCAAGAAAGAATTAGGGTTTCTATTGAGCTACTCAAATTCGGATTAGTCACTTATCCCCATTGCTTGAAATGTTCCTTATTGATAACTTTGGAAGAAAGAAGATACAATTCAAGTGACCTCAGCTCTTAAGATCAAAGACTGTGAGATATCATAAATAAATAGGTTCCATGGAAGTGCTTTATCTGAGAAGTTTCTGTGGTTTTCACCTTTGCTTGCTTACAATAGAATTAGTTTTCTCTTTATAGACGTAAACTTCCTATTTTGCAAACACTCCCACCAGCCTGATACACGCATTTGTGGTACCCCTATCACCTCTGTATGGGAGTTTGCAATCTTGGTTTAGGGGGTGGGGGGGCCAAAGACCATCAAGTCACAGTAGAACCCACATCTAAACACATGACTTCCTTGATGCATTTGTATAGATGTGCAACTAATGCCCAGATGCACATGGATGCCTACTCCAAATCTATATATTTTATGAATACATGCATGTATTTATCTATAACCGTGTGTATGTGTGCATATATGCATACATGTGTGCATGTATGTAACCTAGAACAGTAACTTCGAATATTATCTTCAATACATATAAACATGTTCATATGCACATCTGAAGTTATATATCTTATATTTAACATACAAAACCATGTACATCTATATATAAATATATAAACATGCATACCTATATATAAATTTTATAGGCTTTTCCAATATCACTTCCCATCCTCCCCTATTTGAATGTCCTTTTGTTAAGAAACATCTTCTGACTTTCCCAAGCAGCACTGGGTCCAGACTTCAATCACCATAAATACCACAGCATTGTGACTGGCAAGTTCCCTCTCTTCCTACTAGTCTCCCATTCACTCCCCATGCCACATCCTCCCATCCCCACAGACACATGTGCATGCTCTAAACTGCCGCCTAAGACAACAACTCTGCTCTTCATCCTTGTTTCCCTGGTGCCTCCAATGCAATGGCTGTCTACTCAGTGCAAGCACAAAGGCCCGAGGTATATGGGCCATAAAGAGGACTGGGAGCCGGGAGGGTGGTCAGAAAAGGTGATGTGCCAGGTAAGAGTTGAATTACCATGAAAACAGAGCCAGTCAGGAGAGGAAAACCTCTTTCAGGAAGAGGGAACAGAATGTGCAAAAACCAGGGAGTAACCATGAGCATGAGCTTTCAGGGAGAGACTAGGCATGATGATGGGCAGTAATTGGCCAAGCTAAATCACCCCAGCACCAAACTTCTGCTCTGAAAAGAGACTGTGTTCAGCTCTGAGAACATCACCAGGGAAATCAGCTTGTAAATGTCTACCTGGGCAGACACCATAATGCCTGGAATCAACATCTGTGGAGCTTCCCTGCTTAGGCACACACATCCTCCATGCTAGTGGGATTGGATGGAGCCCAGGAAAGAGCTCTGGGGGCCCATCATCACACTGGCTGGAACCTCCCACCTGTGCCTAGTGCATCCTCGGGGAGCCCGGGAAGGGAGACACCGACCTGCCCTGAATGTTTCTATTGCTTTGGCCAAACTGCTGACACTAGTCTTTCATTAGGTATCTTTGAAATAGGTTTCTTATTGTCAACTGGTTTCCATCTACTATTGTCTGGAGAAGTTTCCTTGAGCAAGACTGTAGTGTACAGATTCATAAGCAAATTTGCCTCAAATCCTCGTATGTAGTTCTGAGCTTCCATACAGACATTCGCCTCCCTTCATCTTCCATGCACAGGATATTCAAACATCCACCCAGAAGTAAGAGTGTCAATTTATGCTGATTTGGTACTAAATTAACAGGCAAACTTGGGCTAATGAGTTACTTTCTCTAAGGCACTGTTTCATTAGCTTTAAATTGAGAAGAATGACAATACCTACCACTCTGGTATATTGTTTCTGGAAATCATTATAAACAGCTTCTATGAAAGCATTTTTTTCTTATGGGACACAAGTACTTTCTGGGCATTATCCTCTTAGTTATACTCTTTTTCTCGTCTAATATTACTAAGATTCCTTCTAACTGAGCCATCAGTTTGCATGGCTACAGCGCACAGTAGCAG